AGAGCTAAACATAAATGAGGCACCAGGTTATTCTGCCCCCACTAATATAAAACATAGGTTATATGAACTCAAAATCCCACCAGAGAGCATACCAAGTTTCTGTCAACTGGGAAACAAGTCTTGAATTATTAAAAATAGATGTTTGTAATTCTGCCATGCACGCATATGAATTTTCTGTTGACTATTCTGAAGGTGGTAGGTCTTTAACCACCACAGCTAAATTGATTACAGTTTGTCCAGTAATGCTCTTGGGTATGTATYCATCAGCATTTTGCTTGTTTGCAAAAGTGTTAACAGTGCGAATATTTTATTATTTACATATGATGAAGGAATGATGTTTCACAATTAATTCTATGGACTGAAAAAACCACAAACATTCCAAAGTAATTTTTTTTTCAGTTAAAATATTGAGGGTGATCACTATTAAGCCATCAGAAGTTCCTATGAATTTTGGTACTAGCTCCAACTGGCTACAGAAATTGTCTTCTCAAGCTCTCCAGATGGCTTCCAAATGGACTATAATTCTGAGAAACAGACTGGACTTCTGGTATGGCAGAAACAAACATTTCAAGTACATAAGCTAACATTTAGCAGAGCTATGAAACCTAATGCAACAGTAGTAGAAAACAACTAGAATTTTTTTTTTACTTTTTGTAAAAAAGATCCATTCCACATTCTATTCTAGATATAAATACAGGTATTTATCCAACCACCAAAGATTTTCTGTTGATAATTACCAAATGATGCTTTATCAACCCTGCTGATGCTACCACTCATCTCTGAAGAAGAAGCAGAGATATTTTAAGTCCTGTCCAAAGTTTAAATCCTGTTCAAACTCTTCAGCTTCCACAAGTCTTCAAATACTTGTTCCTTAAGACAGCAATATAGGCACGCACAGTTCTTGAAGACACTAAATCTTTGCCATTAGAATAAACAGCATTAAGCCTTGATGATATGAAAATCATACCACAAAACATACAATCCATGAAAACAGAATCAAAAATATGGGACAGCTTGTGTTATAAATGTATTTATAAACAGGATGCTGCAGTTGAGAGGTACTTAAGTTATTGGGACGAAATAATAAATCTAGAATTTCTTATTTGATTTTATTTTTGGTGCCTCTCACTTATTCATATGAGTGACAAGATGATTTCCTGTTGTAAGCTAAATAAATTGCTCCAGCTCCATTGTCCTCAACAATGTAGATTCCTTGTGACTTTACCTTTCACAAAGACTTTTGCACTGCTAACTATCAGTTACCAGAACTGCTGAACTCATAGATAAGAATTTAATATTTAGGGGCACAGAGAAAGCACTGCAGAAAAGCTGTGAACTACTAATGCAATTATTAATAGGAAGCATCAAGCAAAATGGAATCACCATGGGGTTTTTTTGTCTTACATGTCCATCATTACAACTGTTTTTAAAGTAAGACATGGAAGATCCTCTCATATTTGCTTTATATATTAATTTTCCATTGAATGTGAAAAAGGCCTGCCAGTCCTCCTAAAATGAAGACCAGATGCATTGAAAAACACTGATAATTTTACCCTTGAAGTGAGACATGTTCATTGTCAAGGCATTATAAAGTTTACATTAAATTAGCATAAGTGGCTTCAATTAAAAAATAAAATTGGCAGGTTATCTATTTCTCTAAAAAAAAGCACAGGAAAATATAAAATGGATGTTTATAAAGAAAAAGATTAATTCCTCTCRTTCAAATTACAGTTATGCAACATTGCAGTATTAATTTTTTTGGACAGGGATAGAGAGAGGAAGATTATTTTTATTTATTATTTACAGGACCAAGCATGTTAATTCCAGTCTCAGAACAAGAAATACTGGAATGAAATAGTCTGGGAGAGTTTTTGATCATATGTTTTACACTTCACTGCTCTTGCAAGTTCAAAGTATTTTTCTTTGAAAGAAAGTGACATTCAGGAGAAAAGAATAGTGGTTAAGGGGAGGTACATAAAAATGTGTCAAAGAAAATTTGCACTTGCCATCATATTAAAAAAATTGATTTTTGAACCTTTTTTCTTTGAAGTATTGCAAAATATTCCCAACCCCTACAAGCATGTGTTTACTTGATTTCATTCAGTTTCTAAGAAGAAGGCATGAGACTTTATAAAGGCAGAATTTGCATGACCCAAATCAGAGGTTGCTACAGTAATCAAATACAGTGAACTAAGAAAATCTTATTTGAAAATGACAGAACAGAAACATACATTTAGCAACCTGGTGCATTTTAAAACATGCATTTCTCAAGTTCCTCTCTCTGAAGTGTAGAGAGTTTCACCTACATGAATACCAGCCACTACAAAAAAAAATGCAGATTACTCTGCATTCCTTTCAGACTTTAATGTATACTGACCACAGAAATAACATGTGTTCACCTAGGGGGAAAAAATCCAACCAGTAAACTTTGTATAGAGATTGTCGTGATAAATCTAGCATGCTGAATCAGGCTCCGCAGGATCTACTAGGATAACTTGTTTTCTAAAAAACTAACTACTTTTAGGGATGTGTTTAACTTGGTTTCATTGAAATATTTGGGATGTGTGCTTTGAAGCATTTTTAACTGCAGGATTAAATTAGAAAGAATACAGTTCATTAAAAAATTTAGCTATTTATGTACTTAGTTCTAGGAGCTGGAACTTTTACAGCTATAAGGAAAAAAACTCCACAATTTAGAATAATCATGAGAGAGTAGCACTGCGTTCCAAAGTCTTTAGAAAAGCCACATCACTTAACAGTTACAACCCATGACCTCCACAGAGAGCCCCATAAAATAGAGACCCCCTCCCAGATGCATTTGCACTTCATCGCCAACACTAGTCTAAGGCATGGAGCTGCAAAAAATTTGCTCTCCTGGGCATCTAATAAATACAGCATAAATGATGCTTACAGTTGTTTATTTCCTACTCACGCCTTAAAAAAAAACCTGCTTAGGACAGTCAAAGTTAAATTCTTTGGTGGTCATTTAGAAAAATGATCATTGATCAGTTGTCCTGTACTGAGGTAACTTGAGGAGCGCCATAAGGACGTTTTGTTACAAACAACATTTGCTAATTTTCCTGCCTAAAAGCAGCTCCCATTTTTAATAAACTCAGTGTAGACCTCTGCATGGCCTGAAGAGATCCTCCTCCCTAGCCCATCTTAATGCATTGTATACAGCAAGGCTGCAAGTTGTAATGAGATTGTGTCCTACAATCAGGAAAGCAAAATGTATGTATTATGTATTATGTCCTCAATAGACCAGAAGATTAACTATGTTATGTACCATAACATCAATATGCCAGAATGTTGCCAGATGTTAAAATACAGTGTAGCTGTATGCAGAACAAACAGAAAAGGAAATATAACCCACAAAGATTTGACAGATGTCATCTGAACATCATTAAAGGGGTGAATGTCAAGTACATTAAAATAAAAGCAAAACCAGCAAACCTTCCATTGTTTGCCTAACTTTCCATTTTTTGCATATGCTTTTCATACAACAGCAAGAAAATCATCTCATTTGGCAAAGGCATTTTGGTTTGCTTTTTTATGGAAAACCTAATAGAAAATAGCCTTTTAGTTCTGTTTGTTTACCAGAATAATCAATTATGTCCACAGARCTCCCAGAATGGTGCTTGTTGAACCTACAGCAGCAAGAACACAAAGAACTACAATTAGATATAAATTAAGCCTGTTTAGCTTCTTTTGATTATTTTTTCCAATAAAACAATGAGGAGAATAGATTTTACTTCCCAAGGGATGAGTCCCATCTACTTGCCATGGAATTACTCCCATCATATATATGAGAAATAGAGGGCAAGACCAGGATGCAGTACTTGACATTGGCCTCTTTATACAAGAAAATAAGTTTTTTGTAAAAACTACATGAAACTTTACTCTGCTGCCCATGTGAGGAACACAAATAGATGTTAAATACTCTTACACATGCAAGAACATCAAAGCTACTTGATTAGGTAAAAATCAAGCGTTCCTTGGGCTGCAATGATACATAACTAGGAACAGGAAGGAAACAGCTATGCAAAAACTTTGCACAGAAAACTGTGCAAGTTTTCTGGCAGGTGGTACAATGTCACCTCATATCAAACATATCAGTAGAATTCTTTTTCTAGATATCTGAAAATTATTTCCCTACTGGATTAATACTTCTGTGAAAAGTTAAGCAGGAAATTAAATCATGATCCTATGTTTCATTTAAGTAAACTGTAAATAACCTAACAAATGCTGGTCTAGCGCAATTTCTAAACAAAATGGTTTTAATTTTTTTAACCTGTTTGCACTCATGGATTACTGTCTTGCATGTGATTCATCTTAGCATGCATAGTGTAAAACCTTAGAGTCTGGGGTTTTAAATTTTTTATGGTCTACTGATGTAGGAGTGCTGTCAAGAAACAAATTGATACCTTTTTAAAGAAATGCACACAGATGCATTTTTAAATTAATAGTTAATTAGCAACAAGTAAAAGCTTACCCCACAAAAATCAAATCAGCTGCTACATTTTAAATATTTTCTTATGTATCATAAATAAAATAACTTTCCTTTAAGAAAATTTCATTAATCTTTAAACCTGCTTTTGAACAATAGAATAAATTAAACAATTAGTGCCTAAAAGTTCAAATATGCTACAAATGTTTAAGATAACTGAATAACTATGTTAAAATGCACCATGAGAGATTCTTTATCATTTTCCATGCAGGAAGCCAATTGATATTTTTGTGAGGTACCAGTCTTTCAAAAATTTTTATAAGTTAGTTACCTGATAAACCTTCTGTACATGATATATTTAAAAATCTAACTGTACAGTGTTTCAATCATATATAATCTGCTGAATATGGCACAAATACTAAGTTTCCACACCCACACACCCTTTGCCGTAGAACACATTTTAGGCATAACACAACACTGAAGAATAGAAAAGTGCCTGAAACTAAAACAAAAAAACAAAAAAACAAAAAAAAAAACAAAACAAAACAAAAAAAACCCCACTCAAGTAGCAATAAATTAAATTTCATTTAAACCCATAAAAAAAGTTGTTCAAGTGTTTAAAGTATCAGATGTGTCATGCAACAGAACAACAGACAATTCAGGCAGGCACACCATGCATTATAGTTTGCATTCATGGTATCACAAGGTATCTCTCCCCTCTCCTGCATGGCCAGCGAGCCCYGGATCCCTGCGGCACCGCCAGCCTCACGCGCTGAACCTTCCCAGCTCCCTGCTCTCCTGCACAGGAGGCTTCATGGAGCTACGCCTCGGAAGGACAAGCAGATCACCTCACGCTGTACAGTGGCATCTTGCTGCAGCATAGAGAGAGGCATACTGAGCTGCATGTAAGCAAAGCAATCATTTCTTGATTATATTTTCCAGTCAGTGCAGTTCACCATCAACCAATCAATTTACCAGACTAGGCTTATCCAAACTGGCCAATTCACACACCAAGAAAACAGAACATACCACCTTTTCCTTTTGTTTTTGGCACAAATCCTTTCGTACTCTTGCTGTAAGTTCTTCACCACACCAGAATTCAGAGATGCTAGCCTGTACAAACACCAGAGCTTATTCCTCCACAGAGTAAACTACAAAGACAGCCAAGTGCCTGCAACAGCTTTGCTTCTCCAGCAACTTTCTCTTCTCTCTTTAATGAAAGCACCAGCATAATTACACTTCAGAGAAGGGGGTGTTCTTGCTGAGTTCCTTAATTCCCTGGAGAATTCGCTTCATATGGCCCACTTTCGTTATCCCCAGGTCCTACAGAAAATTTTTTAAAAAGAAAAAGAAAAAAAGAGAAAGAGAAAAGAAAAAGAAGAAAATTTAGTTTAAAAATGAATAAAAGAAACCCCATTGATTATGATCTATCCATGCAACAGATGTCTAGAAATGTGCTCAATACAATCAACATTAACCAGGAAGTGTTAGCAGAGTTGTTTTACAAAAAGACTGCTTAGAGCATACAATAAATCCCTCTCTGTCTGGTAGACAAAAAATTACTTACCTGCAATAGTGACAACCCAGGGCACTTCAACATATGTCAAAATCACCTTTGGCTGGACTTTTAAGTACAAACACCTTTCACAATTTCTGGTAAAATAAAAAGAACAATCTCCCCCTCCTCTCTAATATAGCAATCAAGTGCTTGGTAGGATGTGATGGATTAGAACTTCTGTCCAGCAATATCACTTGATCTGAGGCCCTATGATGTCTGCTTTAATCAACAAACACACAAATCCCCAGTTTCTCAAGGGGAAGTGGATGTAATGGCTACAGGCATGTAGGACAACTTCCCCTTAGAGAGCAATAGAAAAGGTAAACATTTGCTTTTCTTTTCAAGGTTACATCTCCTAGCATGGATCTTCCTGACTAGAGAGTTGGAAGAAAAATTCTCAGAAACATGATAGTCACATCCCAAAAGAAAATGTAAAAAGCACAAGAGTAAATCTCCTTGTAGCCACCATTAAATCATTCCCATCAGCTGAAAAGTTTCTATTATTGGTTTCCAGACCTATGTTTGTTTACAAGAACGGACAATAATTTTTTGCAGCAAACTTCTTTCAGCACTAGTAATAGCTTGAGCAGCATCCTTTTTCAATTTTGAGTGGTCCAATGGTCAGAGAAGCAGAATGGGATGCCCAGCTGTGCTAACGATCCCCCACCACACTAATGAATTTTCAGTTCAGTGTGGTGGAAATCTGCTTCCCTTATCGGTAAAGATCAGCTATGAAAAACTCTTTAAAATCCTTGTGTCAGTGATGCTGAGCAATCGACAGAGTCAAACACCAGTTATTTGTAGAACAAACCTTATATAAATAGCTTGTGGTTAAATAACTAAAAAAAAAGAACTCAGTAAAGTTTTACTATTTTTCTAAAATAGAAATACTTTCATGTTATTAGGAATATTTTTCCGTTATGAAGACATTAAAAAGAAAGGAGTGTAATTAGGCAGCTTGAAAACATGATTCTCATACATAGGGGAAAACAAAACCATATATATTATTCCGTACGTACTCTGCACAAAAACTGTATCTACACTTTAACAGCCACAGAGACTTCAGAAAATCTGYATTCTAGATTACTTAAAAATGTTAGCATGCACTCAAATTCGGAAGAAAGGGGTGGTAAAATGGGCATGAATTAATTATTTTATTATAAGGTAGCACAGCCAAGATTAAACAGGTTTAATTTTCAGAGAGTAAGATTGAATTCTTATTGTTAGAAATAAAAAACACTCAATTTTTTCCTTCAGTTGACAACTATCAGCACTACAAATAGGTGGTCATCCCTCACAGCACTTTGGCACAAAGAYGTCAGAATTAAGGAATTCAAAATTTGTTCATAAAAGTTCCCAAATGAGCTGTTGTTCATAACCTACCTGAAAAAAACACCTGATTTTCCACATCACATCARTTTGTATTTTATTTTTCGCTGGTAGTCATCTCACTTACAAATAAATGTAGTACTAACTTTTAAGTAAAGAGAATTAATGTAAGTAGTAGTCAAATTCATCTCAAACTGACAGTAATATTTATAACTTTCAATTTCTATAATATTGTCTTTTTTATGTTAAATTTCATTTTCAAGTGAATCAAAACCACACTTGTCTACTGAAACTAATGAAATAGCCTAATTGCTATGTAGAGCAAATTCTAAACAAGGGAAAACCCATAAGGATATTTTCCAGATCACAACAAACCACACAAGTTCAAGGTAAAGAACTTAACAAATTCTTTAGGACACATATTTTTTCATGAGTACAACTTCTGTTGGRTAACCAACATAGTGAGATGCTGCCAGACTTCAGAATCAGAGGAAAGAAACATATTATGAAATTCCCAGAAAACACAGTCACTTTCCCCACCAACCTCTGTAAASCATTTCACAACACCTTTGATTCAGAGATTACAGTTTTATTTCTGTGCCAGCTGGAGTTGCTGTAATGTATATCAAAACAGCCAGTCTCATGAGCCTCATCAAAAATTTTGGGAACTCCTTTCTGCTACACTTCCAGGCAGAAAAACTCCAACCAACAGCTTTGAATTTTTACACTTTTATAATAGTTTTTGGTTTGGTGGACACTAGAATTTATACGGTCCTGACACTGGATGCYATCTAGTATTCCCAGTTTACTGCTCATGCAGCTAAGTTTGATGAAGTTTTCTCATCTCAGACTAAAAGGATCTGCTACATCAGCATACCATGCATCATTCAAAGAACAAGATCCTCAAATGAATCTGCATTTTTGTGCATGCATGGCTTTCATCATCCTCTACATAATTTGTTCATATCTAATTGATGACTAATTAAAGAAAATTAAATTTGACTGAAATAAGGTATTGAAGAAAAGACTCTAGCCAGAGTCTGAAGCAAAAAAAAAAAACAAAAACAAAAACAAAAACAAAACTTTATTTTTTTCCCAGCTATAGCCTTTAGAACCACTCTACCACCTCTCCTTCTGTTCTCCCTAACCACTGTGCAATTTCCTGGCCATTTTTTGGCATGTTATCACCACACTAGCAAACAACTTATATAAAAAAATCCTTAATAATAACAACTCACAAATGAGAAATCTACCCTTCTTGCACCCCCAGTGTAAAAAGCCATCTAGCATGTCTGAAGTCTCACGAATCTTATAAAACCTTTCCCAGAAAGACCTTTTTCAAAACATGCTACTACAAAACACAGGGATGAAGTGTCACAGTCTTCAGCACAGATTTTAGCCTGACTGTCACTGCTTATCAAGTTGATCTGTGCCATGGAAAGATGCCATTCCTTTCTCCAGGGAAACCAACATTGCTATGGAGCTTTAAAGTGGCATGATCCCCTTGTCCTATCAAATGTGTTGCAATTCTGATTATGACTAAGTTGCATCCATAGGAACATGGTTATCAATGCTAAGAATGCCAATATTTATTTCAGAAAAATCAGTCTAGTTTTYCGTGTTTGCTTGTAAAATAATGTTAAAAAAAAAGAGGTCACACAAGCCTTCTTTCTACAGTTCCTACAGAATAATTCACAATTCACTGCCCAACCATTCCTCAAGCAAAAKGAAATCATATGGGTATAAATTTCTAAGACACCCCTAAATGAAATGAGGCATATGAGGCTGAAGAAAGGGTGCAAGGACTAGGTGGAAAGAGGTACATGGTTCTTCTTTGATATGTTCTTCATTTGTCACACAGAGGTCCCTGACAATGGGACCCACAAGCTCTGCAGAAATCAGAGGTGCCCAGTTTGTCTCTCAACAAATCAAACTATTCCAGTGATGCATGCAAAGGAAGACTGATCAAATCCTTTTCCATACATCTTTTTAYGTCTACTTTTGGCTACATAAAGAAAGGTGAGCTCAGAGGATTCAGGTAAAACAGGAAGCTATTTTTCCTGCTGCAGACATGAAAGGTAATAGAGGTGATTCTATTGCTCATGAGTTAGGAGCTTGTGAATCAATGGTGATCCCATTTAGCTTGTCAAGAAGCACAAGCCTTGCAGTGGAGGAGAGGCTGTAGACAGATAATGGCTTGCAAGATCACTGATAGCTCATCTGCACGCCTCACAGCCAAAGGGAGGAAAGATTCACAGGGCAGCTTGTGACGTGTTCCTCATCTCTGAGCCACCAAGTTACACATCTTGACAGCAATTCAGTCACTGGCAGAAAGCTGCAGGCTGCCTGAGCCATTTTAATTGGCTCCCTGCAGATGCCATGGCCCGTGTGTAACCAGCAGGACGAGTGCTAAACTCTGCTATTTCAGCTTGGTGCTGCTACAGAGTGTGAGCCATGCCTGGCCAAACGCCTGGCTGGGCTTGAAGGGCACTCATTTGGAAGCTCTCAGCATCTGCTAATGAGCACAGGGGAGACTCTGGAGCACGATTTTGGTTAGCTCAGGACAAGCCCTCGTGTAGAGCAACTCCTCATCCTATGTGTCTCCAAGCAGCAGYAGATAGAGGAGACACTGGGCCCTCTGGAGGCTCTCCAGGAGAAGCCTTTAGGTATTTCATGGCAGACACCTTTGTGATGGGGTTTTATTTACACTGAACCAGCACAGTCTTGCTGTGGTTGGTAATTACCCTGCTGCAAATAGTTATTTGGTTTAAGCACCAGTCTTCAGGGCTTGGTACCTATGAGAAACAAGGCATGGCCAAAAGCTATGTCTARTGTACCACTGATCTTGCTCACCATCATTTATTCCAACAAGATGGACTTTTAAAGTTTTCTTAACATTTTAGCAAACCTATGCAGTGTGTGATGCATTCTCAGTTGAATTTTAAGTTTGTTCAGCACCCACTCAGAACAAGGACTTGCAACATCCATCATTGGAACATTGTGGTGGATTGCTTGGACAGTTTTCTATTTCTTAATTTTTGCAGGGAGGGACTGTCTTGCAACTGTCCCTCTCTGTCAGGAGCTATCCTGAAAGAAAGGAATTTAAATTCCATGGAAAGAAGCTTAGGCAATCTAATACCAAAGGGTGAAATAATACACAACAGCCAAACAGATTATCTCAAACACAGCTATTTCCAGCAGCTGCTTTCTACTGCAACAGTCACACAATGCAAGCACTGCCTCATAACACCAGGATTTCATACTATATTAAAAACTTTACATAAAATAACACATTTGTATGAATATATTGTCTCTACCTGGAGAGTACTAGACTGTGGCTAGAGCAATGACTTACACTCTAATTATAAGTGCTTGCAATTTATACARTGTCCTATTTCCTCTCTTACATGCTAAAAGCAGTTGCAAAACACATTACCAAGAACTCATTACTACTGAGTTCCTGGAAAAAATAATGTAATGAATCCCCAAAGATATAGCCACTATTACATATAATGGATGCACTTAAGTCATTCTTGAAAAGCACCAGCAAGCTCAAATAACAGCCAAATAATATTTCTCCCTACAAAACATAGCTATCTGACCTCAGAGGAAAACAGTTTTACAATTTTGGAGTCAAAACAAAATACTCTTTTTTTAATCTATACAGCCAAAATTGGAGGTTGGTTAGGGATGAGAAAACCTATTTTGACACACAAACACCAACACTATATAAGCCAAATGCTGCAGTTTATTAAGCTGCTTATCTCTCTCACACCCTCTATATCCAATATATACACAATAAATCACGTGGAGCAGATCAGCCCTTGCAGGAGATAGATTCAAAATTATYGTGACCACCATCAACTGATCCATACTGATCATGTTTAATGGAAACTGTGAACCCTTGAAGAAAACATTCTATTACACAGAAGCCAGTAAGATATCAAATGTGTTTCTCCTATGCCTCCTGACATAAACTGCAATGCTATCATTCCACATAAAGTGAAAAAAAAAAAGAAAGAAAATTTTGGATAACACAGATATTCTTGATTGTGAGTTCAAGTCAGCACTTCAGAAAGTCAGGCCCAAGGACAGCGCATATTAGTTTATTGCATATTTGCACAGTGTAAGCCAAGCTACAAGCAATGACAAGTGCAGGGAAAGAAGAAAAGTTGGTTGTTGTTTTGTCAAAGAAAATGGTCAATAGCAGAAAAGTAGCACAAAGGAAATACCTTAAGATCTCGCCTTTCCAGATGTAAAAGCTCAGAGCCTCGGATGTCATGGCTGATGAAGATTTCTTTGTACTCTCCCAAACTGAGCAGATCCAGCCAAGCAGCAACTTCATCTGTGCCCCATTTTTGAACTACCAAAGTTAAGAGCAAAACCCCCTTAATTTCTACATGCTCAAATGCATCACAAGCAAAGGTTAGGCCAAAGAGAGTGGAAAACAGAGTAGAATTGCCGTGCTAGCAAAGGGAAAGGTTAGAGGTGTCTTTTCCACAAAAACTGACWATTTCCTTTTACATGCAGGTTACAGGTTAGCAGTTAACATGAGAAAGTATCTAAACAAAGTCGGGGTTCTTTGCTTTGCAGCCATGCTTTCAGCTTTACTCCAGTTTCTTCAGTAAAGCCTTTAAAACCTCATGTCCCAACAAATTCACATTAAGCCAACTCAGGATCAGTGACGCAAAGTCTAATGTTGCTCTGCTTTATGCCATTAATTTATTAGTAGCCATCCAGGGAGAGGAGAAGCCTTCAATAACTAATTAACATGTAAAATTAAAATAGCAACCATACCTCAAATATAGCAATGGCAGCAAGCAAGTCCAGTTTTAATTAACAGATTCTAGTATTCTTAATTAAGACAGAGTATTCTTTAAGCTACTGTGTTACACAGGCCATTAAGCAGCTCTCTGTAAAACATTGTTCTCTAAGGTTAGTTGCCCACATTAGTCCTATTAAGACCACATATATTAAAAAAATAGTTACACTACTTATTGATATAATTTTGCAACCTCATTCAATGCTGATCACTTTGTAATGAAGAGAAATCTGAAGTCTAATCTGACACTTAAGCCTGGTCAGCAACTGCAAGATTTTGTGATCAATCGTCCATTTAAAAAATAAAGACATAGAAACAGTTTTAGGACCATCTAATCACTGATTACCTCCTGGACATTATCTTAAGGACGTAAATTCATGAATAAAAATGGGAAGAGAGGAGAGTGGAGTTTGTTCAACTTCTAATTGAAAAATAAGTATTGACTATCATGATTCTTTGTTGAACTATATCACTGAACCTATAACCTACCTAAAATTTAAGAGCAACTGGTTAATTAAACCAGTGTGATAAAAGCTATTTGACACCTGAAACTGAACTAAAAAACCTGGATTGGAGCTTCACAGGGAAGCAGATGTTTTTACCCATGGCTTGTATGGCCATAAATTAATCAAACTACAAGCAAAGACACRGGTCCTGTTGCATGACAAAACTAAGTATTTTCACAGTAGTTCTTTGATTCCCTTGGAAGTATTGGGGTCCTACTGAATGCTTTCTAAATGCACTGAAAGAAATATTTATCCTAATGAAGATGGCAGTTAGCTCAGCTGCTTTCCACTTTGACTTTACTCTTAGGTGCGTGCATCATGTCACCTCTTACCAAAAAAAAACCCATAAAAATCACATTTTCTGTAAATGCTACTATTTTTCTTGCAATTCCAAAACACATACCAGGCTGGGGGCTGGTCTTATGTTTCTGAACTTTTTCTTTTTTAAACTTTGGCACTATACGAAACACTGTACTTCTGTTGTTTCTTTTAGCATAATCCAGAGGGGGATCCTGCATGAGAAAAGAGGCACAGTTACCTTCAATTAAAAGAAAACAACATTTAAATTATATGTTTGTGTTGGTAATCTCAAAAAGTTAGTTAATCTCAAAAAGCAAGACCCAAATTTACTTCTGTAAAGAATAATGTCAGGACTTTACACATGTTTGGTTTATTAAATATAAACAAAATATATATGTTTCATTTATTTATTTATTTATCTATCAATCAGAACCTTTACATTCACAGAAGGGAAGAAAACACCTAAGCTTAGAAGGTTGTTCACAGCAGACAGAAATGATCCAGCATCATTTCTGGTGCTTCACCGGATCATGAAAGATTGTGACACACCTTTTCCTATCAAAAGAAAATTAAGATCAACTAAAATCGGGACACATTAATCAAACTTACCTCATCATCATTTGGTTGAAAAACATAATAAAGCCAAGGAATCTCAGCAAGTTTTCTCAACTCTGTTTCCACACTGTGCAAAGCATCAGACAACAGTTCTTCATGGGGAGCTTCTAACTGCTGCTTATAAACAGGCCAGAAAAATAGAACTTTCAGTTTCATTTGACAGTTAACATTTAAATCTAGACATCTTGCTACCACACAAAACAGATGACTGCTTCATGGTGAGTGTGTACAAATGATGGAAACAAATAATCTTCCGAAATGAGACTTTCCTTCGAAGATGTGTAAGACCACCCTGACACTACATTTAGTGTGGTCYCAGTCACAAAGTGACGACCGAGAGAGATGAGACTTTTGGTGCAGACCAGCTGGACACAACTGTCAGTCATTGCCATCCCTCACTACACTCCTGAATCTTACAGAGCAAGAGTTGCCTGATAACACCACTGCGAGGACACCCTAGAAATGGAAGCTACCAACACAAGGAACAGAAAACCTGATGAGAAGAGCAAGTGTCTAGAAAATCTTTGTATGAGAAGTGGTATAAAAAAATTGAGTAGGTGGTAATAAGCCTCAGTAATTTTTTGTTAATGTCTTCAGATGGTAGATCACTCTCTCATGTTCAAGTAAGAGGAAATGGAGCTTGTTGAAGACACTCCATTCCCAAAAATCTCCCACYGGTGCAGGATACCTGCCCTACCCATTCTAAATAGGTTAGACGAGGAGCAATAGATGCTGCKGCTGGCTGAGGGTGGGAAGAACTCTCCAACAGGAGACAAAAAGACAAGAATATCAGTAAAGGCCAAAGAGGAACATGGTGGTTGTGTAAAAACGTCAGGAATTTGGGTCTATTAAGACTTGGAGAACCYCACAGAGATACCAGTTTCCTTTAAAACTCCAGTCTGAAAACTTTTCTGCAGCAGTTGGGAGAGTGAACTCATGTGGAAGAGGYAAGGCAGGTAGCTGATCCCTTGAAAAGCTGTTTTGAGCTTATCTGGGATTGCTGAAACACCATTAAATAGAGTTGAAACACAGACCAAGTTGATTGAAATCATTATTGGAATAATTATTGGAATTATTAATAAAGCAATTTGAACATCTATTTCTCTCATTAGACTAAAGGTAGTCCCAAAGCATTGCAGAATATCCTTCCGAAAAGATCTCATTCTGTTAGATGCTGGTGAATGCATTCCTAAAAGGAGTTGCAAGAAAATCTTGGATATYACTAGTGCCAGTAAAAGATTTTGACATTGTTGGAGTTTGGTGAGAAATTACAAACCCCATTAATTTATCCTACCTAACAAAAACTTCTTTTCTCTACTTCAATAGTTTGTCTATGTTTTCATCTTTCAAAGGAGAGATCTTTGGTAAGATCTTACAGTCCAGTATGGTAAYACTGAAGTATAAGCTCCCTTTGCTATCATGTTATTTTCCATGCTAAAGCTCAGTGAATTTGGTGTCCATAAGCAGACTTTGATGTTTCATCTTTTTTTTTTTTTTTCCTCATATGAATAGTTCAGTTAATTTGGAGCACAGGGAAAGAGCCACTTTTCTTTGAAGAAGTTACAACTTTTCTTGTGTTTTTATTTCTGAGAAATTACTCAAGTCATCTATTTTCTGTAAATGAATGAAGCAAAGAATTCTGTCTTTCTCAACAAGTACTTATCTAATTGCTTGATTCTCAAAGGAAAACATTTTGCCTGGGTAAAAAAAAATGCCCATCTGATGGTGCTGAAATAAATCCAAAATAATAATTCTGGTACAGAAAGAATCAGCAATTTAGATCAAATTCTCTTCCTACAACATCTTGGAAAATCTTATTTGCAAGATGAAAATTCATACTATGAATRAAACAATAAAAATAAAGGATTTTAAAACTCCCTCCCTATATAAATTTTTAATATGAAAATATTTTATTTCAGTAARTTCAGATAATTTTATTCAGTTGAAATAAAACATTCTGTCATACTTTGCCCCTATGTATTTCAAACTTGTTCTCTGTTTCAGACTAGAAATGCTTTCTAAAATCAAAAATGGAAACAATGCCTTCAGAAAATATCTAGACAAAACACAGTACTTTTCATTTTTTCCATACTGTATTCCAGCCATTACCATCTGGAGATTCCACAAATCAGCTTCATCGTCCCAGTTTKAGAAGCCCTGTCTCAYAGAAGGTGTAMCTGCCCATGWCAGGGGAGTTGGAACTAGAAGATCTTTGAGGTCCCATCCACCTCATTCTGTGATCCTATGATATTATAATTTCAGTAAAAACTGTACTTCACCTTTTGTTGTGATCTGATACTAATACTGTTGTGTGAACTTTGTTAATCATTGTTCTTACAGGAGGTGGCAGGAATCACAGACCTGTTTTATGTGTATTTACAGTTTTTTTCTGTTTTTCAAGAGCTGCAACAGCAAGACTCAAGAGCCAGAAAATGGCAACCAAAGAAGCAGCTTACCAGGAGYTGTAGTTTAGYTGTTGGCTGGGATTAAACCAAGTAGTATAAGCAACAAAGACATKACTTTTCTGCTCTCAGGAGCTTTGATCACAGGAAAGAGGGGTGAGGGAGAAGTGACGAAGCCAAAAAAATAGAGGATGTTATCAGAGAAAGAACAGTTTATGATGGGAGCAGATGCACTGAGCAACATCTCACTCTTCATCTGTCTCTATTTTAATAGAATGAGGGACCAACAAACAGGCAGCTTCAGCATTTATAAAATTCATGACAATACGGTTTACCAGGGTGTCTTGTCACTGTGACTGTGAAATATTGTCCTAAACGAGCACTGTGTCAAAAGAGCATCATGGACATCTCTGGAATATYATCTTGGTGCCTTCCAAACAGCCTTTTTATTAAAAAAAGGGCTTGATGTAGCTTCATGAAGACATTTGCACAACCATAATGAGAAGCAGAAACACAACATGCAAAAATTCAGAAATGGAAAAATGAATGAAATTAAGCTTTGGAGCCTGAACAAGGGCCCAGTTGAACAACACAATGAGATCACCACCACCTGCAGAAAAGGTAATGTTTCAATAGGAAGATTTCCCTAATAACATTMTTTCCAGAYTGCCTTGATAATTTCACCAGTCCTAGTATGGCATCAACTACCTCAGTGTTTCCTTCTAATTCCTTTCCCTAAATGATTTTAATTTTTTTTTTTTTTTAAAAACTCTGTTTTAATTTCTCGCTAAATCTGAAATGCATGGGATTAGCAATAGCAATTTGAAAAAAAAAAAGATTTTTTTTCCCTTTTCTTGGACAAAAATATTTAATGAAATAATTTTCCCTTTGAAAACACTGTAAAATAAAACATGTGAACCTAATCTTTGACTATTTCTATAACTTAAACAATTMTTAGCCTTTAGACTATATTCACTTTTGGTTACTCTAAAATACTCTAAATACCATTTATCACTTGTTTAAAAAGTTAGGTGAACCTGCAGTAAGTTCCATACCCTAACTCAGGCAAATGAAAATATTCCTATTAATATGCATTTTTAATTATAACACTTAAATAAACAAGYTAGTAATAAATCTGCTTTTGAATCTAAAGAAAATGTAACTACTCCCACTGAGAATCTTCTTCAAGTAAAACTGGACCAGCATAGAAAACCTGACATCTTTCTTCTCTTCCCAGCGTCAACACAGAAATGTTTTAATTATATATCCAGATACAATTGTTGAGAAATCATCACTGTAGGCACAGAAACACTTGCTAAAGAAGATGCAAGTATCAATAGGGGTTCACTGAATACTTACCAATTAAAGATTATAAAATAATCCTGACAGGTATTAGAACAATGGTGGAATTTACTTGCCCAGATTAGATCTGTAGAAGTTGACTGAACGAGTCTAAACAGCTCTCACCCCARGCTCTCCTTAAACTCTGAAGATGGTCACATAACAGCACTCCAAAAGTTCTCCTAAACACTACATCTTGAGAAGATAAATAATTTTTCTTCTTAGGTATGCCTCCAAGACAGATGAGCATGAATCAGCCTCACAAGGATACTTATTTCTTGCCACTSACTATTAAGAAGAGTCCAAGCAATGACTTTGCTTTCTGAAATGAGGCAAGAYGGACCAACCTAGGACAAGATTTCATAACTCATTCTGAACCAACCACAAATGCAGTGCAATCTCCTCCTATCCACTTTCCAGAGCTTCTTGCAGTGTGTCCTCACTTAGGTACCAATTTACAAAAATCAGCAAAGAAAAAATCACAGATAATCTGAATGAAGGAATAAATACATGAGTTTTATGACCTTACCAAAGGAACTCTTCCTACTAGCAGAGATTCTGTTTCGTTATGTAAGGCCTTTACATTGACAGCTATCTCCATGGCAGTGTTTCTGGTAAGGCTCTGGGGAAAAAGGAACATAAACATTCTTTGAAGTGATGCCAGTCAGATTGAGAATAAGTACTTTTTCTTACAGCACAAATCTTAAGTGCCTTCTTCCAGGCAAAATATGTAGGTTTAGCCCTAATAATACGTAGGTTTAGCTCTCCTGTTCAGCATAGAAACCAAAAATATAATATCTATTTACTGTCTTTTCCTCAAGATCATTTAGTATGACCTCAATACAATCCTGAAGATCATCAGGTAACCAGCCACCATATCAACCCACATATGACAAAGGCCAGCAGAAAAGTTGTGAATCTCTTTTARCAATGACTGTTGCTTTCAATTTTCCWCCTTATCCTTAGCAGAAGCAAGCTATCAGCCATATTTAAAGAAGCAGAGGACCGCTAACACATTTACCATGGGTCAATTTAGGTTAGATATGGACAACCTCTACCTGATTAATCTCTTCTGGGTCCAATTCCTGTAAACACCCAGATTATCTAGTGTGAGGAGAAAAACCAGGAAACTCATTCCCTCTCAGCCCCCTTGCCTTCTCTGTACAGCACTTGGACAGCAAGAAAGCATGAAAATGCCTGTGAATGCATCCACAGACAGGGATTACAATACAGCCCCCAGGCCACAAGCTTGTGCACCCAGATGTTATATCTTTTTACTTATACAGAAATCTCTGCTCCTCTTTACCTCAGGAAACCTTGGGTTGGCTTTGTTTAATGCATGTGAACATGCATTAACAGCATGAGCAAGCTCCTGCTCCAAGAGGCTATGCACTTTTGCTGCTTCACAGATCCTACAAAAAACATTTTAAAAGGAGAATAGAATTTCTTAATTTCTTCAAAGAATAATTCTTGAGCACACAACTTCATCAGATGAGAAAATGCATGAAGATGTGATTCACAAAACACTTTTAGATAAATACAGTACTTAAAATTTGAAAGGCAAGTATCTCTTCAAGCAATATWGCACCTCATATAAGTGGTATCCATCACAGAGATTATTTATGATGCTACAAATACAAATACCGAGATACATTTGTATGTCTCAGAACATTAGTGGTACAAAAAGAAAAATGGACCAAAAAACGTTGGTGCTATTAATTCAAATAAATTACAGAARAAAACTCTAGCATATTACAGTAACTTGAAGTTCTCTTAAAAAACCCTTACACAAATTTCACAAGGCATATCCTTCAGATGTGATATTAAAATTGGCTGCAATCATTTGAGATTATGGCAGGTCCAGCTGCAACTACAATCTCCAGACCATCTCTAGAACAGTAAAGTTTTTAAGCTCTCTTGGCTAAAAGTCCTGATGGGTAATTGATAAACCAAATTATCCTTCTATGTCTGTAGTATAAAAAGAGTATGCAGCTCTTCCTTTCTTCTATTATTGGTATTTTGATGGTAAAGATAATTTGTTGTTACGATAAAATGTTGTTATGATAAAATGAACAGCAGCTTTATAAAATATTCTGATATGAAAAMAAAAGCTTTTCTTGATCTCAGCCTGTATGAATGCCTGCAGTGTTCATCCTGCTGACTTCTAGAGTTGACATGTAAAAGATTTTTTTCCAACAATTATATTTTTTTTTCATAAAAATAGAAGCTTCAATTTTTGCAAAGAAGCTTTCCAGTTTCCCATTCCTGTTGCTACTTCAGGAAGTTGATTTTCACAAGAAAACAAACCCAACAAAAACACACATAAATAAAACTAAGAATATACATAGGAAAAGCACACAAAAATAAGCCATAAAAATAAAATTAAATTTTTTAATTGGAAAAACCCCACTGATATAGTAGCAACAAAACATTAATCAAAAACCAGGGAAAATGTATACACTTCTCTGTATGAATTTGCATTAATAATCCAGTCTTAGTGTCCAGATTGCCAATCCAACTTCTTAATTTTACTGTACCTGGTAATAAGTTCTTCTGCAGCTTGTGAGCACAGCTGGATCTGTGCAACTTCTTCTTCTGTAGCCAACTCAACAGCTTGCTGAGGGTACAAGGGAGATCGAATGAYAGGTTTGCACGAATCACACTTCTGTTTGTCCTCCCAAGACTTCAGGGTGTTTTCAAAGGCCTAATCAAAATGAATGATACATTCAATTCACAGCACCTGGAGCAGTCTTACTTATTAAAAAATTTAATTTTGCATTCTACATAAATTTAAATTACAGATTATTTTAGTTAAAATTAATTTAACAAATAAACAAATGCCTGRTTTAATTTTATAAAAATAATACAGCCTGATTTAATAATAATTTTACATTTTAAGTTTTTAAAACTTAGTACAGAGAATAAGTCACTTTTGGAAGCTTTTTCAGTCTCCTCCCTCCCTCCCTGTTATCTTCAAAATATATCTTCCAAACCAATAAGAACACAAAGAYGGTGATAATGCTTGGACTCAATTATCTTAGAAGYCTTTTCCAACCTAAATAATTCYAAAATTTTGTGATTCTCTAATGCAAGCACATTTTGTGTGGATATCAAGACTGAAACCCAAAACTGATACAGGAGTCAAACATTAAAAATGGTAGGGAAAAAACCAAATTTACTGAAATAGAATTCAAATTCTATTAATTGCACCCTAAATTCAAGATCCAGTTACTGGATGGAGAACTGAGGGGTTATTGTACCTCTTACACAACAATCCTAGACAAGCATGAACTCTCCAGTGGTTTTGTGATCGGGTTCTGTTTGTGTCACTCCTGTCTGAGACTGGGGGAGAGGGAGGATTGGTAGGACAGAGAGATAGAGGAGAGAAACTGCAGAAAGCTATTCTGGAAAATGGACAGTATAGAACTTTGCTGTTTATGCAACTGTGCTGAAACTTCCAGGATGTGAGTGGTATAACACATCTAGAGAAAAAGAAAGATGTAGTAGAAATAGAGGAAGGAGGGAGGAAGGGAATAGATAAAGGAGGGGAGAAGGATAGATAAAGGAAGGGAGAAGGAATAGATAAAATGTTGACCATTCTTACTAKATATTAATAAGAATATAGGAATAGCATTAATAAAACAAATAGAAGTTGACAAAGTTTTGCCACTTACACCAAGGAATAATTATGTATATGGCTTATTATAGAAATCATGTAACTCCTAGTAACTGAATTACATAAATAGTTATAAAACACTTTTGTAAGCACTGTTTTGTTCATGTTATTACAATTATTACAGAAATTATTATTATTTGTTACAAATTATTACAGAAACCAACATTAGCAGTGGTAGCTCTTTCTGCAACATACTCTGTCTCGTGTCAGCATCTGAGCTCTGTTTTTATGTATGATTTTAATAACCCCTGGGGGCTGGATCCATGCCTCTCCATCGACTTGCACTGGAACYCCTTCATCACCAAGTATGGTGATCTTCACTGACCGACACTGGAAAAGAACAAACACATTATTTTACAACGCAATAAAAWCTGGTGAGACTGACAGGCCACCTGTAATCTGTTGATTACAAGGAGCTATGGCTTCTCTCCAGGACTGACTCAAGAATTAAGCCCTCCTATGCTTCATTCATCATTGAGGACAATTTGTTACCCGCTAAAAACAAAACAATGTCAGCACTTTATTGATGTATAGGGTGGTGGTCATCWAGAGTCCCGCTACTTGCCAGAATCCCAAACCGCTGCCAACTGTGCTTGCAAGTAAGAAACAAACCTGGGCTATCCTGTGGTGCTGCAGTTTGATGACTCTGGAAACTGCCATCTGCATGCTKCCAAATACAGCAACAACTTCCAAGATTTTATCATCAAATGATGGAGCTCCAAATATCTGTGAGGAAAAGAAAGTATTCCATTTTTGATGGCATACACACTGTTCAGATTGCAATGAAACACAGAGTCATTTACAGATTCATTTTCAGCACTTAAATATTCTAACTCCTTTACTGTAGAATTGCTACACTGTCTCTCCAAAGTCATAGGAGTAGGATACCTTAGACAATGAGCAAATATTATTTAAAACATCAATACTGATAGCTTTTCAAACAGTCTGAATGACAAGACAGATCCTTACTTAGGAAGGATGGCATTTTTCAGCATGCAGACTAAGAAATGTTTTTCAAGGCAAGATGAAACCTCCAGTTGGTTAGTGTATCTAGTGTCTAGGATGTTCTTGAAGTTAAGAGAAGTAATGCTGTCTTTTTCTTCACAGAAGTGCTTATCTCTTTACTTTCTGAACTCTCTGGAAACCAACATCGGAGTCCACACTCTGCTTTGTTTAACAAAGCTTTGATACTGAAGACRATCTTGTTTGTGCTGTGTATAATTATCAACTATAAATAGGAAAACCACTTCTGTATGGAACAAATGTCCTCCTCTRCAGCCAAGGTGCTGAATTTCCATGAGCTCATGCAAAGCACAGGAAGTCTTGCCCCCTGTTTCCTGCTGAGGAACTCAGCCACAGGAAGATCTGAGGCTGGACTTTAGCTGGGTCTGGCAGGTGATCCCATACTAAGGTCACTTAAAGCTTGGCCATTTCATCTTGATATGCAATAGGGAACAATGAGGGCAAAAATCAGCAGGAAAAAAATCACTCCAGTAAGAGTTCAATGGGTAGGGAGATTGCCTCTCTGAGCAGTACTTGGACTCCCTCAGTTGGTGTCTCAGGCAAAATAAGCTGCATCAGAGACACGTGAGACCAGACTGCAGAAAATTCCAGTTTCTTCATCTGATTTGGTTTGGGTTTTTTGCAGTTTCCATTTTCACATGAATATATGAACATCTTGAAAAGAACCAAGGTGGTGTTTCTGCTATTTTACAACAAAAAGTGTGGAGAGTTCTTGACCTGGTAACTGATATTTACAGGGCTAGTTCTGGCATATGTTAAGAAAAAAGGAACTGAAAAATTTCATTTATTTAGTGTGCCATTTCAGCAAAAGTACGGGAAAAACACAACCTAGTCTTCTGCTGTATCGCCCCTCCAGTAATATCTGTACTGAAAACCAATCTTTTTTTTTCTCCTTTTTTTCTTTTAAAGGCAAACCAATCTTTACAGATCAACATTCAATTTGACTCCTTTCCTGTTGCAGGTTATGTTTCCAACCTGTCTTCTGGCCACCAAAATAACATGCCTTAAGCCAGTCAGGGTACAGGTGCCCTGCTTGGCTCACTGCTAATGTTTCAGCAATAGTCACAGCTGTCAAGGCAACAACTTTCATTTGTCCAGACAAGCAGAGCCAGCAGCACAACAGATCACCACCACCACCACCACCTCTTGATGAAGAGTCATTCAAGACTGTACTAAAGCAGTGAATTTTGCTCCTAACTCAGTCCAGAACAAACACGTCACTCTGCGGGCACATCTGCCCATTAGAGACTAATAATATCAGTAAAACTGCTCCGGGACACACACATTTGCTATATACCAGCATGAAGGCTAGGACAGATCTTTTCTCTCACTGAGGCCATTCAGGGAGAAAAATAAACCCCTGGACAGGGGCTGAGCAGATGTTAGAGCAGCTTTAAAGATATGACTATGAACAAGGAGCATATAAAAACTTTAGATATCCATTGCCAAATATAAACAGAATTGCCATCCTCTGACATATACCAAAAATAAGAAAAGAACACGAAAAGTTGTCTAAATTTCTTTTTTCACTTTTACACGTGTGTATATATATATATATATACACATATATTAAATATATATGTATGCAATTATATATGCATTATATAATATAAACATGCAATCAAACATATTAGATATTATAATAAATTACATAAAATTTATAAATATATTATATATATTATATATACATATGTATGCATGTGTGTATGTTTAAAAAAAAAAATGAAAGAAGGATAAAAACTCACAAGAAACCCAAAGCTTTTTGGCAAAAAAAAAATCCTGGCTTGCCTACATTAAAATCACAAGCCAGGTTGCAACTAGAGTTTTTGGTGATTCAGACATCACACAGTAAATCAGGACATGCAGATTAGGATAATCTGCTAGTAATGATGGTTGGTGCTCTGTGAATGAAGTGGATAGCAGYACTGTTCCAGGTTGTAAGACATTTAGGTATCCATGTAGTGAAATGTTTCTTATGAGATKAAAGGAAGAATGGCAAAAAGGTACCTTGAAGTATTTTCAAGGATCATTGGAAATAAYATTCAAAAACCAGTTTACTACCCCCACTAAATTATCAGCATTGTTCTTCATTTTCTGAATCACCATCACTCACARCAAAGCTGTTTGAAAAACAGGAGGAAAATGAAGTTTTTTAGACTAAAGTGAACAGAGGAATCTAGGCATTGAGAAACCTTATTTACAGGCATCAGTAAAACAATACAGAGAGAAATTATTTATGTCTCTGTTTATAAAATTAGTTTCTAAAAATACTCAGAGCCATTTAAAAAACAAAATCATTATACTTTATTATGAACATTTTGCTGGAATGGACATGACAGAAGACAATGGACAGTAAAAAAGTCATGGAATATATTTTCAATTAAAAAAAAAAGAAAACCAAGACAATACAGTTTGAACTGAAATRGTCTCCTCAAATAAGAGTTGTTATCCAAACTATATGCTACTRCTATTAAAATCAAGTGAGAAGAGCAATGCATTATATTTATTGCTGGTTTTGCCCAGGAGGTTAAGTCTCTTTAAGGCTACTTACATCATCTTCTTTGGTTCCACCCCAGAAATTAGTCCCACCAGCATAACTGGGAATGTTTAGCACAGCTATGCCCTGCAGGCTTGGAAGGGGGATATATTGTCCGTCACACTGTAATGGATAAAAGCTCCTTCAGTTACATAAATAATATGATAAAAGTAATCAGCCATTTTTAGCACATGAAGCTTCAACAGAGCTGGCAGGGGAGGACAGTCATTAGGAGGTCTGTCACAAGACTRTTCCCTCCATGCAGTGAAGCACCTMTAAAACAAACCTCTTCTTTCCAATCTTAGCACTGACTTTTGCAGAACTGAAAAATATGCAGATCTGTGTGCCGTAGTATTGCAGCACTGGTGTTCCGTGATTCTTCAAAGAAACATTTTCACATTCCTTATTATGAAATTTCTCATGCACTTAAACCACAGTCTATACAGCAAGGATTAAAAATCTTTTTGCAGTGAAAAAGCCAATCTCCCTGAGTGCACACAGTAAGATTGCCAAGGACATTACAAAAAGATTCATTTACACATTCACTACTCTTCCATCCTATATCAGCATTACCCAAATGCAATACACTTGTTATTAAGTCAAATCCATTTAAGCCCGGGGCGGGAGGAATGGTATCAAGAATATCCAAAACTGTTTCTGTCATAGCCACAAACATGTGGTTAGCTGTCAGTGTTTGCATGTATTGCTGACTTTCTGTAAAAATAACTTCACTCTCCTCCCCAAAGTGCAAAGACAAATCTAGGACTGACCCCACAGGTGTCACCCTGGCCATGGATGGGAGGTGTTGATTTTGCAGGTAAGAGGTCGCTCTTATGTCCGACCATTCAGTCCTCGCTTTTTACTGCTTTATCCCCCAAAACMCATAAGCAATTCTGTGTCCCACTCAACACCATCATGGGATGACACCGGTCAATCTTACTCTCATCCAAAGGTAAATTTACAGACATCAGTGAAATCACTCTTCAATTACAGCAGTRCAATTGTCTGCAGAGGGGAGCCCGATAATGTCAAACCATTCCACTGGCAGCCAAAAGTGAAGTCCTGCAGCAGAGCCACAGGCATGGAATTGAAATGGGTTAGGATCACAAGGTTGTAAATACTAGACCCAGGTGTCACTTTATGGACCATGAAGTTGCTGCTCAAGCTGCCTTTAATGAAGATTGCTAGATTACTGCACATGACCAGTCCCACAGAAGGATCTTAAAATTATACAAATGAAATAGAAATTCTAAAGAAATAATGACAAAATCTGTAGCACCTTTATCAGGAGGAGAAAGAGATGCAAATTATTTCCAGAATGTGCTTAGTGCTCTCTTTTAGAGATTTAATCTTAGTAACAAGACAGAATGTAATATTTTAATCAAGATGTGACAGTATCCAAAATAAGGTGTGATATTAATAGATACTGCACAGCCATTTGTGTTATAGTAGAGGTCTGCCTCTAATGGTTGAATATGCATCTATAATATATCTAATATTATGCAAGGCAACAGTAAATATGAATTTTTTTACTTGCTGACTTACTTCCAGAAATATTAAAAAATAATTATGGAAGGGTCAGCAGTATTATTGAATCTTATTTGAATCCAATTCAAAAGATCCTTAAATTAGAATTCTATCTCTAGTATACATAYCATTCTTTCCTGTCATTACATTTGCTAACTACTGCATAATTCCWTAATAATTACTCAATCCTTAGCTAACAGGAATCTGCTGCTACCAGAAAAAATGCTCCTAAATCTCAGAGTGAGAAAGAGCTCCAGTAACCTAAAATAATTCTTCCAATTAAAAAAGTTACCCTCATATAAATATCATAAACTTCCATATGAAATACTCAGCATGAAATAAAAAGAGAAATTATATATATGTTCTCTGTCAAAATCCATTTTAGATATTCTTTGGGCGACCACATCCTGTGGTCTTTTTCTGCATTTGGGAATCACTTATATATACTTTAAGCTCTCAGTACCAGGTAGAAGACGTAGATTTTGTTAGAACTTAAAAGCCAAAAAAACCCTGAAGGATTAGGACTCCTTATCGCTTTTCTTCTGTTTATTTTATGGTCATTTCTGCTGTTGCCCTTAAAACCTGGTCTCTCTTTTAATGGAGAGAACATTGAGAAATATATCCTACCTATACAATGTATTMTCTTTTTTAACCCAGCAATTACAAAAAATATTATACTGGGTATTCTGTGATCTTAAAGTACTGATATTTTACTCAAAAACATGACTTGGAGAGCCAACTTTTACATAGCACATCTTTATACAGTGCCTTTGAGGTCAGCTTGGGCTGGCACAAGAACACTAACAGGTTTCAAAAATAAGCGCAAATTCTTCACTACACATTGTGCAAGCAACTCTCTCCATAAATAAAATTTACCTCAAGTTGAACTTTTTGTTCTAAGTTCTTGTACGTTCTCTGCAGTAGCTCTTTTGTGCCAAGAACTCCATACCACATCATGTTTTTCGTCCGACTTCTGAAAGAAAGAAAAACAAGATTCACATATGAAATATACATGTTATTGTGTCTTGTATTTATAGAAAAAGAAAAATTAAGAAATTCACATAAAAAGGTAAGTAAAAAGAAAATAATGGAAACATCTTGGCTCTGTTACTGACAATTATATTACCTGCACTTTTCAGGGTGCTCTTCTCGTTTGTTATTAAATTCTAGAGAAATTTTTGCATCCAACCCAATTCCAAAGTAGTTGTTCATGACACATTTTTCTGAATATCCCTCCCTGTTAGAGGAAAAGAGAAAACTATGTTTACATTTGTACAGAACCTGGACACACAAACATCTCTGACCAAGACTGTGATTGGTCACAGAACAGAATACAAACTAAAATGCTTCAAGAGATCTTTCCTCTGAATCTCCCTGAGTAAACTGGTTTGGGCTAAAAAACCCAGCTCTGAAAGAACACTGAAAGTCCTCCTCCTCCAGGTGAGCAAGGGGTAAGTGAAGAAGTGTTTCCTATTATTTTCAGCTGCTGAAAAAAATTTGCACTACTCATAACTAAACCAGCACAATCCAGCTTGTTTTCAGACATTGAGGTCTACTGCCAAAGAACTTCAAAAAAAAAAAAAAAAAAAAAAAAAAATTACAGGAATATAAGAAGGATGCCCTTAAGGAAAGCAAAGTAAAGCAAAATAGTACATTTGGAAAAAAAATATTTCTTACAAGGAATCTGGATCCGGATCAATAAACGGCGTAGCACCAAATGGATCGATGTTTGCTAGCAACATTTTGCTAATAATTGAACTTCCTGCAATGGAAGCAGCTAGACCAGCCCTTAAACCTGATTAAAAAAGAAACAAAAAACAACAACAGAAAGAAAATAATAAAAAACCAATCTGTATTTGATAGACAAACATATAAGACACATACTGSGAAACAAAATACATTAAATCTATCTCAATTTTTACCTATATTGGTTATCTTTTCAGGTGTCTAGCTTCCTTAAGCAGAAAGGCAACTATGCTGCATTGTGGTGGCTCTCTTTGGGTACCACCGTTGAGAAAGAAAAAAAAACAAGAAAATTTAGGGTTTCAGGCCAATACCCACCGGCTGGTAKAGTAACGAAAGGGAGGACCTAATATCCAAAAAGACTGCTAGAGCTTTTTATTATGTTTAATCATCTCCTAACTGTCCATGATTTTTCTTTTGTCCTGTCCTTTGGAAGTATTCATAAGGAATATTCTCTGCCATTTTTACAACTGGCAGAGCTGTAGTTTAACTTAATTTGTGGAAAGAWCACGGCCTCAACATGCCTGCTTTGACTAATATCAATGTCACTCTAAAAAATACACTCTAAAAAATTAATGCATGTAAMCAAAGCAAAGTACTAAAAGCTTTCACTTAAATTTGCCTAAAGAAAAAAGGTAAGCTCAGTTCCATTGTGTTTTAGCTATATTAATAAAGTTAATTAAAACAGAGTTTTACTAGTGCTCTCTAGTATTGACTGCATTTAGAGCAGAACAGGTATCTTTATCTGTCAATCGCATTTGGGTAAGAAYGTATTTTTCCCAACTGTTTTACAGAGCAGCTTTGTGTGGTTTCAGTTATCCACYTCCAGAGAGATATCCATGGACAGCTCTTACTAAGAGGGTTGAACTTTAGACAGCTTTGTCCCTCAGCCTCTTCATCCTAATCCATTGATTAGGATAAATAATAGAAGGATTTGGGGGTACCTGTGGAAGAAAAATTGGATGTGATCTGGCAATGGGAGCTTGTGGCCCAGAAAGCCAAACCTGGGCTGCAGCCAAAGCAGCGTGGGCAGCAGGGCAAGGGAGGGGATTCTGCCCCTYTGCTCTGCTCTGGTGAGATCCCACCTGCAGGGCTGCATCAGCTCTGGGTGCCCCAGCAAGAAAAGGATGTGGAACTGTTGGAATGAGGCCACACAAGGGCCACAAAGAGGATCAGAGGGCTGAAGAACCTCTCCTCTGAAGACAGGCTGAGAGAGCTGGGGTTTGTTCAGTCTGGAGAAGTGAAGGCTCCAGGGAGAATTTATTGTGCCCTTTCAAAATATAAAGCAGGTTTATAAGAAAGACTGAGAGACTTTTCACCAGGGCTTGCAGTGACAGGAGAAAGGACAGTGGTTTTAAATTCAAAGAAGGTAGGTTTAGATTGGACAAAAGGAGGAAAATGTTTGTGATGAGGGTAGTGAGACAAGAGAAGAGGTTGCCCAGAGAAGCTGTAAAAGTTCCATCACTGGAAGTGTCCAAGGTCAGGCTGAATCCTTTTTTGAGCAACCTGATCTAATGAAAGATGTCAATGCCCATGACAGAGGGCTGCTCTAGGGATCTTTAGAGATCCCTTCCAACCCAAACCACTCTGCAATTCTGTGATCCTGAATTGTACTTTTCACCCTGTGGAATCAAATGCAACACTTCTGCTACTTCTGGTGTTTTCAGAAATCTTTTACATTATTATGCATTTCCTTCGATATARTACAACACAAAGATGCGTATGGCAGTTCAAACAAATTCAGGGCACAAAGTAAAAGTCATTATTTGACAACAAGCAGGAGATTGGAATATTAACATAGGGCAGGAACAGCAGATTTCAAAATCATAATTACCTGGGCAGATAATCCTCGTGTTAAGTACTGGRAGGTTTTCTTTGCTTGCTGCCAAAGCTGGAGCAGAGAAAGAACCTGTCTGAGAATGGATACCTCTGCTTGTACGCCTATCAGGAGATCGTGGTGCAGTTTTAGCTGTGCAGAAAAAAACAGAAGTAAGAACAGTAATTAGACCTATTATGACATTGCCAACTACAGAGTTTTTACAGCCCTGAAAATACATAAAAAACATTAATTTAATCTGTTACCACTCTGTGACAAAAGTTCTTCCCCCTCACACCACAGTTTTTCTTTTAAATAGGGGAAGAAAACCCAGAAACAGATCATTTGACAAAAAACAATTAAAATGAGCAATGCTGCATGGCACTCAACCTGAGAAGTTCCCAACTTATACTTCAAGCTACCAGCAAAAGTATTATACATATTAAATGTAAATACGTTCATTAAAATGTATTATATCCACCTTAAAATGCAATAGTATTTCATGCTGAAGTAAGCTTCAGGTAAACATTACTGAAATAATAAAACAACTCAAATGTCATCTATGTTTATTATAGATAGAATGTATTTTATTATTTATAATGATTTTAATATAGATAGTTCCATGTTCATCAACACCTATACTATTTTCTTCAAGCAGCTAAAAGGGGCCATTCCTGCATCAGATTTCTGAAAACATCAGCAAAAAGTCTAATTTCTTCATTTACAGCCAAACCGAAAACTGCAAAGGAACAGAAAAAGCCATGTTAACCTTTGTCTTCTGCATTTAGAGAGATTGTGGAGGGTATCAATTTTCCATCATCTTTTTCCACAGAAAAACACAGAGAAAAAAACAAGCTGGTAATTTCCCAAGTATTTAACTTATATTTAACTTATTCATTAAAATTCTCCAGAAGATGGATCAATGAAACCTTGACAGACAGCAGTGGTTGGTAGCTGAYGTAACTGTTATGGACAAAGGCTCAGGAAAAGGAAAGGGGAGAAAATCAAGGGGAAATAGAAGATATTCATAAAGCCTCACTGACAGCTCAGAGAGGTCACTTATCCTTTTGCTCATCCTCGAGGTGATGAGCAAGCACTGGCTTTGCAGAGGCCTGACTTCTGGTGCTGTAATTTACTTTCCTGSCAGAACGTGTTTCATGCAGCCTGAGCAAGCATGGCAGTGTCTGGTTGAATCTGGGAAAGCCAACCTTTGTGCAATTCAGCCCCAGCAGACATAACCAGAAACTGGTGCCCCACAGAAAACAGTTTGAGTATTACCAAAWGCTTTGTTATGGCATTTCCGTGTGTCTGTAGAAAGCTCTCGCACAACAGATGGTCACACACAGACACTTCTTGGCTACCTCTGCTCRAAATTATCTCACATGTTAAAACTACTTCAGCTTAGGACAACTTTAACCTTGACCATCTGAAGAAACTCAGAACAAAAGATGAAATTATTTCAAGATGATCTCATTTTTCCTCACAAAACATGAAAACGAATCCAGCAAAAATAGAATTAGTAGGACTAGCATCACGACAACAGCAGGAAAACAGCACCAGGAATGTGGTGGGAAGGATAGAATATATCCTTTTCAGTGGCAGGAGTGGGACAAAGCAGTTCATGTCAATCATAACTTATCAGCCTGAGAATAACGTGGGTGTACTGTATGAAGACACTGAYGGAAAGAAAATGTTGACTTGGAAAATCTAGAGACAAAAGGAATAACTAAAACAAGGGTTTAGACATTGTGTTCAAATCACTTCAGGCCAGGATTTGCACATTCACAGGGTTTTTTTTAAGTGATGATAATCTAGCATAGAACAGTAAATGGAATGGCAAATTCTTCATTTTCTYGTATGCCAGGAGTAAGATTACACAGCTTTCTGGATGACTTGCTGAAGTCAAAGAAAAATTATTATACACAGGACAAAGAAAAGTGGGTGAATTTTTCTGGATTGCTTTATATGGAAGGACTGATCAAGTGGACTAACAGCTCCTTCTGATTTTAACACCTGCATGACAGCCTTAGCAGTTATCATAAAATGCTACAATATTGCATGATAGCAATACAACTCAATTATTTCTATCTGTGCATGGCAAAATACTGCAATAATGTAAAAAATTAAAAAGAATAAAAATGGCAAGTGATATCTAACAATAGTCATTAAACATTTAGATGAAGGTATTAACATATGGAAAAACATTATCTTCATCAAATGACCAGGAAGATCCTCGGAGGGTGAAATATAATACTCAGAACAAAATTAACATTCATYTTTCATAATACCACTGAAAAATTCACAACGCTGTTCACACAGTCTGTTCTCTCTGTACTTGTGACAAGGCAGTTCTACTAAACAGGAAAATTAGCAGAGCAGCTGCTCTTTGTTTGACAGATGAGACTCATGGGAATAACTGCAATAAAGATAAACTTTTGCTGTGAATGCTCTGATAAAAACAACAGAGCCCTAATGAGTAAAACTGATGTTTCAGTGCAGATAATTGAATTCATGTTTCATGCTTTATCCCTAAACATCTATCGTCCAGTGACAGCATTAATATGCACTCTATTCCACACATACAAGAATAATACATCTCCCCATTAAGTGCAGAAATTACACCATCAAGAAACAAAGTGTTTAATAAATTTCTAGACATGTCTACATTTTTATTTTGTTACACAGTTATGGCAGTAAGATTGGGTCATCTGTAGGGTCAGTATTCTCTGTGAGCTACTTTTGAAAAGGGACGACCAACACACATTGATTCCTMTCACCAAGAGAAAATAAAAGGGACCAGTGAAGAGACAATCACTGGAGAAAGCCTGAGATCTGTTTCTGGAGAAAACATGAGATCCTGGGTCAACAGAAGCCCCATCAGCCCAATGTCTTATTTCCCAGGTAGGAGCTCCTGACACAGGTACCAGCTTCAGTGCAGAGCCTCATGAGGACAATTTTGAGGATGTTTGTGTGGGTTAGGGAAACAAAAGGAGATGGAAATCGCAAAATACTCTTGTCATTTTCCCCYAAAAAGTTGCTCACCAAGTATGTAGAGGATGGGCTTTGTTGTCTTCTAGCTACCACTGTTTTTCTGTGACTCAWAGACCATCTTGTGACCTCACCTACAATGCATCTGTCCACTTTGGTAATATGGGGAAGTCTGAAATTTCCACCTATACTGAGARGCAGTTTTCCTAAAATTACTATGTACCTTGAGAATCTCAGTCTACAACTGATATGCTATCATCACCATCACCTAGGCTCTAGTCTTTGCTCAGGTTCATTTGGAAAGGTGAGTGTAAACACTGGATTAAATTCAGGTGCTTCTCTCCACAAGTGCCTTCTCAGCTTTGTAAATACATTCCAAAAGACTGTTCATCTATTATTKCCCTCATTTTTCCCTTAACTTGTATTTATCCAAATCCATTAGAATTTGTGATGTTTCCAGGCAAACAGGATTTTTAATTATGGAACCTATTAAGCTCCAAATACAACTATAAGAAGATGGCATATTTCTATTTTATTCCTATWTTACTCACTTGATGGGGACTCAAGTTCCTTTGTATCTTCCTCTTTTTCCTCTTCTTTGGATTCATCCAATTCTTTGCTGTATTCTACTGGAGACTGGTTCACTTGCTCTTCACTATGAGCATTCTGCTCATCCACAACTGTTTATTAAGGGAAAAGACAAAGTTTCAAGGTTTCTAAAGAAAAAACGCATACATCAAAATTAGCACTTTTTTCTARCTTTTAGTTTAAAAATATTAACAAAGAGTTCTATTGTCAATTCAGTGAAAGAGTCAGTCAATTCCTAGCCAGTTGACAAAGATTTGCTGCCAGAAATTTTCACTTTGTGAAGCCTAATAGCTAAAAGAAATGCACTTTTAGATGTGCACACACATATATACATAACTACTCACACCTGCACAGTAATCAACGTAACAACAAGCCACATTTCTTTGCCCTGCAACATGTAATAAGCTCATAATTTTATCTCTGTAAGAATGTAGAAATCAAATTTTATAATGAAAACTTATTCCAGTTAAACAAACAAACAAAGAAACATCATTATCCTATCCTATTCTACCAGTCCAGATCAAAATGTTGCTGRCATGCACCTTTTTCTGCTTGTTCAATGATCTGCCTCACAGCCTTCTTCAAGCTGTTTGCTCGGAGCATTAACTGTTCCCTTGGTTTGAASAGTTTCTGGGAAGACTTTGAGACACACTCTGCTAATTGCTCTTTGCTTTCAGACAAGGATTCTTCACTTGAAAACTCCTCTGGTTCTTCTTCCACAATGGAGGGAGCAATGCCTGGGAGAAGGGGAGCAGCCTGGGATTCCGTGTGAAGAGCCTGGAGCAATAGGTCGAGCTTCTCATTTAACTCTGAGCACTAAGACAAAGTGAAAAATATTATACACAGACACACAAACAAAACCAAAAAAATTCAACAGTGAATCTTTGAATATTTTCAGAAATATGGCATTAGATTATTTTTGAAACTGCAGGTTTAGYGTCCATGTAATTCCTTATGTAAAATCCAAATCAAGGTTCAACATTTTAGAATATCAGATTATGTCTGTGACAAGCAGATTAGAGCAATTATAACACAAAACCCCTCCATTCAGATTCAAGTAACACTCCATGCTAAACTCAGCCTGCCCCATAATCASGGTACAGATTAGATCCTACCCCTCTCCCAATGGCTTGCAGCACAGAAAACACCAGAGATTTGCCCATGCCATGGGTGTTCAATACCCCAATTTTGACAGGTATCTATGGAGATGTGCCCAGCTGTTAGATGGAGACACATGGGGCTGTTTCTGCAACACCTCTATACATTTAAGCGAGTTGTCACAGAGCAAGAAGCTCAAGCCAGCATCAGATGCTGTCAAATGCYTCTGCTCAAAACTAAATAGTTGTTCTCTCTAGGTACACTGGAAAAGAAGGGATTTTCTGTTCTTAAGGGAAAGAAAACACTGTCTGGCCTTGAAATGGTAAAAAAGAAAAACTAATTTTCTAAAATATGCACTGGATAGAAATGTGAACCACAAATTGCCACTTAGCAAGTACATTTTCTGACTCTGGGATTGTCAGGGATTTTGTTTTCTTCTTTTCTTCTCAGCTCATGTAAATTTTGTGTCTCATACCAAATCCTTCTGTTGTGTTTTTCTCCCAATGTTTTTGCAACATGATTTCTATATTCTGCAGCTTAAACCACTATTTTTAATATTGTGGTCTGTCTTTCCTTCATTGTCACAGCATACCCTTCATTATCCCATTGTTTTCCTGTAGCTAATTTAATCCCTAGAAGTATAATTAATGCAAAAAAGAATTCCTTTTTTTTTGTGTATGCTACCATGAACTTTATCCTTTATGAAGGAAGAAAGTGAAACAGTTTGAAGAGATCTCAGAGTTTTTTGGAAATAATTACTCCATGCAATAAGAAGAGAAGAATTTTGAAGTCACCGGCTGAAATGAAAGCAAAGCTGGGCATCCTAGAGCAACGTGAAAATTAAACATCCATGAGACATAAACTTTAAGAACCCAACAATTTTAAACCTGAACATATAGTCATAGTCTTACTTTAATGGCCATGGCATCAGCTTCCTCTGCATTTTCCACTGGTTTTTCGTAGGTCTTCCCTATTTTGGCAACAAAGTCCTTTACAGTTTCACATAATATTCTTCGGATGAAAAAATTAGAGGGAAGAGATCAAGTGAAATATATTAGATATGTTTTGAATATTAAATTCTTATGGCAATTTCTTTATAAATCTGCTATAAATTATTCTTATTGGAAACTGAACTCAGTGATCATGATTGCAAATCAGATGACACTTTTCTCCATAGCTTCCAAAACTGGAGTGACAAGCTTTAAAAYAAAAACTCTTTCACTTAAGTCTTGACATACATTGCATCTCAGCCTCTTACATGAAATAAATATAACTGATTTTATCCACTCCCTTGCTTGTACACCTTCCACACGACAGGACTTTGCAAACTTCCATTCACTTTTGTAACTTCAAACACAATCATGCATATTCCCATGCAAAGTTGGAGCTTAGAAACCAKGGAGAAAATCCACTGACTTTAACGGAGCACTTAGATGAAAGCATATGGCCACCCACACCCCATTGCACAGCTCGCGCTTTTGAACCAACCCTGAAGTGTGTCTGTGCAAATTACAGTGGCTGCAATGAATTTTCACTGTGTAAAKCAGATAAATATTTAGTTCTTGTTACCTGCACTGCAGACAGACAGCAAACTTACTAATGAGGTGAGATAATTGCTTAGWACTGTTCATTTGGTTGACATTTATCTGACAGAAATGAAACAGATTTAACAAGGTACAGAAACAATTTAAAATCTGGAGTTAACACTATCTTGCAGTTTAATCTTCTGCATCTGCTATGTATAGTTAAAAARTTATATTTTGTTAACTTGCTTTTAGGAGAAAAAAAGGTGTAATGATATTCAGATGTATTTCAAAAGATTCTRTGACTGGTCTTTTGCATATTGCAAAATATAAGATGTTTTTTCATAGAGGAGGTACASACAGAACAGTTCTGATTTCAGATGATGTCCATGATTTGTCAAATTTTTCTCCTTTCAAAATGTTTCAGTTTGGGGGAAAAACCCTACTATTGTCTTAGATTACTATTGAYAGAACTGAAACAGACAGGGCCACATCAAAGCTACCTAGGACTGAAGTTCTGTTTCACACTGGTAAAGATGTTTGTCCTCTAAAGATATGCATAAAAAAGGCAAGAAGAAGTGCAAAATAGATCACATCTTTGCATTAGTAACAGTAAGTTCTGTATTTAAGCCATGCACTGATTTTAAATCATTTTATATTTATATTGTGCGATTCTTTTTTTTTAAATTTAGTATTAAGCCATCCGTTACAACTGTACCATCTRAAAATTTTGCAGAAAAGAACATCCACTCTAAAACATATAAATCAAGATATATTAAGCCAAGGCAGTTGGGCCATCCATAAGAAAATCAGGCTTAGACAGAAGGCTATTATGGTGATGATGTTACAGGGAATTTATCCCACACATTGYGCATAAAACTGATTGACTCACTTGGCAGATGATATGACAACTGAATGCTGATCAGAATTGAGGATTTTTGCAAGATGAGCAGCAACTGAATCTTCATAAGCAGATATCTGAAAACAGAGAGAAAAGAGACTTCAATTTCCACACATTCCAGCAGTGTAACACCAAATAGTGAGTTTAAACACCTCAAAAMCAGAAGGATTTCCATTTCTAATACAAAGCCAAGTGGCTGGCAGTGCAGATTCTGCCTGCATACTGTATTTTATGTACCAGACTTTTAATATTCAAAGTCAGACTGCATCTGAGAACTTGAGCCTCCTGTAAAAACTAAGTTATTTCTAGACTAAAATCAGTCAGTGAGGCAGAAAATAATTTATCTTCTCAGATTTATAACAACCTACAGTATTTTAATCTAATATCTTTTACTTCTAAAATAAGCAAAGCTTTCCGCAAACAGATTGCTCAATAAGAATAGGAATAAATCTAGAGTTTGCAGTTATAATCTGGACTTTTCACTTTACTGTCASGTGTGATCTTACTCCCCAGGAACCACAAGTGACAAAGGCAGCCAAAATGGTATAATGTTTTCAAAACCAATCCTCAAGGAGCAAACTATTTAGGCCTTAGTGTTTACAAGAACATTAAAAATTACAAATTTATTAAATACTCAGGAAAAGATTTGTAAAAAATACATCCTCACATACCATATCCTATCTCAAAATAGCTGTGGATCCAGACTTCAATTTTAAAAGAAAATTCTAATCAAATTCCAAATCTAAAGCTAAAAATAAATGAAGTTCTGATAGCTTCCTTTAAGAATATCTTAAAATTTCTTAGCATGCTTTTGTCTTCGATTTTAAGCAGGCAGATACACCACTTCAGTTTTTTCTCCTAAAACCCAGCCTTCACTGTAGGACTGTAACATTGAATGAGCTACTGGTTTTCAAACAACAGTATAAGATTTATAGAAATCAAGTAAAATAAGTCTCCTGAAACTGCTGGAGGAAAGAAAGGGGAAAAAAGGAATCAGATATGTACTTCCATTTGCTTTTCAAACTGCAATATAATCCAATACCTACTGTAAGGTTAATTATTATTTTTTCTGAAATATATAACTTGGTAAATCACAAAAAAACCTCACTAAACCCCACCAAAATAGAGATTGAACAGCATACTCCAAAGCAAATGGTTTTGTCCAGCTCAAGTAATGACAGGTAATATAGCCTAGAGAATACATTTTCCAAAAAAGAAGTTTTATATGTGCAGCAGTTCCTTCCATTTTCAGAAATGGCTAAAAAAAATTCAAAGCCAGAAATAACTAGAACAAAATGGTGTGAAGACACACTTGAAAATTTTAACAGTCTTCAAAAATTAGAGACGATAAAGCCTCAATTTGCATTGCTGACACCAGAAGCAGAGCTGTGTGCAAAGCAGCCTCCTTAAAATCCCAACCTTTTTTGCATCTCTATATCCAGCAATCCATCAAAGGTTACAACCTCCCTGCCAATTAAAAGAGCCTGAATTATTAAACTGTTCAAGAAACTGCTGATTAATTACGGCTTCTCAAGTACTTTTGAGCTACAGCTGATATGCATTAACTTTCTTGGGAATATATTATTTTCTCATTTTCAGTCAGACTTTCCATGCCAATTAATTTGATTAAAGCATCTCTCTCTCTCAAAATTGAAACCTCATCAGCTAGTACAAGCACAAATCTAGTCTGGAAGACAAACTAAGCTTTTCTTTGATGATGCTTAGGATTTTGATCTCTCTAAAAGAACAAAGAGAAAGTTGGGTGATATCACCTGATCAAACTCAAGCTGCAAAAAGCTCCTCTCTTTCTTTAGGAATACAACCCTTGCCTCCAAAATGCTGGGGGCTTTCTTTCAATGCTTAATCCAAACTCAAGATAGCAGACATTTGCTTTTACATATTTAAAAATGTCTTTTACATATTTATTATGTATAATATGTATGTTATTATAATATATATAATATTACAGAGTAACATAGCACTAAATTATGCAATTATATATAAAATTACATATAATATAAAYTCACATATAAGAATTATCTAAAATATATAGCATAATATATTATATAATAATATTACACTAGATTACATTTTGTCTAACATATTACTTTGTAACATATATTAAAATATACATATATATTCAGGAAGAAATTTATCACACAGCTTTGCTGGACAATCCTTACCTTCATTCCTTCTAGGCAGATAATATAGAACTGGAAACCTTACTTACTTGAGATACACAGCATGAACAGTCCTTAATTCAGTTCATTTAGCAGATCAGAAGACATATATTTTCACACAAATGCTTCAGTTGTAGCTRTCGCCACCCCAGAAGCTCCAAGTTAAGTACATGAAACAAGAAAACAAAAGTAAAAGTGCACCTGGCACTCCTCTGACTCTTCTGCAGTCACTGGAAGAATAGAAGGCTTTGCTGGTAATTTCAGTTCATATGACATTATACTCCACCTGAAACAAATATAAGTTTCCAAACTGTTAGTTTTAGTTTTTCTCCACTGTATTTACAAAAAGAAAGTTCATTGTCTCACCACAAAACAGCTATATATATATATATATACAAAAGCAGCTTAATTTGTAATTGTAAACTATATGGGTGAAATAATTGAGATTAAAGGTAATAACTTGTTTTATTGCTCAGATTTTTTTTTAGTAATTTGATTATCAGTATTGTGTGAAAAAATCATGAGACATCCAATAAGGGCAATAAAGATTTTCTGGAAGAAACATTTACATTATAAAAGGATTTGTATAAACTAACTGCAGAAGTCAAAGGAAACCAGACATCTTCCTAGAGAAAAAGCTTTAAGGTGACATTAGATTTCCACCTCAGCTAGAGGAGGCGGGCATGAAAACAAAGCAAATGATGAAGGATATTTCTTGATGCACTTTTTTTTTTTTTCCTCTGGTACAGGACAGTAGTTGACAGCATAGATAGCATGAAACCACTAATAGCAACATCCTTCAAAGCCTTGCTGAAAAGAAAGAGTAATCACTGCAGATGGGCCTTGGGAACAACTCTACTGAAATTGGACCAAAAAAATTAAACAGGCCATTTTTTCACTGCAGAAGAACGGAAATGTGACTTAATTTACAAGTTTTCAAAATCTGAAGATCAGTAACAAGCATTTCTCTATATACTTTGCTGCAAAGCAATCAGGTAGTCTGCAGAAAAGCTTAAAACAAAAAAAAAGGACTTTTTTCTCTATTTTACAAAAATAACCCGAAGTAAAATACCCTATGATGATATACAAGTGTTTGTAACTAGAACAAGAAAAGAAACACTCATGAGACAAAGGAACAGCATAAGAAATATTCCTCTCAAAAGCAGTGCTAGACTTCCATTGGAACAACATGACCATCACATCTCTGACTTTTTTTTTAAAATAGGGAATGATGCTTTCTATTATGGATGAAAACACACAAAAAAAGTTGTCAGAAGATCTCAATTTTTTTTTTACTAAGAAAATGCCTCAAACAGAAATATTAGTCATAGATCCAATTAGCCCAGCATCTTGTCAACATCTAAYGCCTCAGGAAAGGATGAAAGCACACAAGGTGAGTTTTCCCCATATCAAGGACAGAGAGCCCAGGTGTTTTCTAAATAAAGACAGTACCATTAATGGTGTTTAATGAGCATGCGTGGAGWCCATAAAATTGCTCAAACTAGTTTTGAATCTACACAAGTTATTAATGCTCACAACTTCTTGTGACAGGCAGTTAGGCAGCTCCTTCAGTCATGCAATAAACTGTCAACTTCTGAACATGTGTGGACAGCACATTTCCCAGTCCTATCAACCCCTCATCCCTCTGACTCTTCAGTTTAAAAAGCAGCCAAAAGAGCTGTCCCCATTACAATTGCAGCTTCCTCCAGTATTATGACCTGAACTCAAAAAAACAAACCCACTGAACACCAAGTCTRTATGATGGATTTTAGGCCATCAGAAACCCAAATAAATACAATTTAAATCTCATGATAAGTCATGTGTATGCACATTTAGGTTTACCTGTCTAACATTTTGGTGCTGGCTCGTTCTAGTTTTTCCAAAATCTGAGGAAGTTGCGTATCATCATCACAGGATCCTCCCCAACCGAGGACACGAGCAAGGTCATTTCCAGTACCAAGGGGCAACACTCCTAACTGACACTGAAACATAACACAGGAACAAATCTGCTATTGAAAACTAGAAAGAAAATACAAGTGGTTACAAATGCTTGTTGTTTCAATCAACAAGTGTTGATTTTATAGCTGACATCTACAATGTGTAAGTCAAATTTTGCTAATCTGATACAACTTGCCCTGTTTATAACAGTGAAAACTTTCATTGAAGAGTAACCACTGAGTTTGGCCCATATACAGAGATACAACAAAGAACCAAAGCAAGGAAAAGGTAAACACACAAAATTTAGTGAGTCTAGGCAAGGAAAGTAAATATGCACACTTGCCTGCTTATGCAAGCTGAGCTTATCAATTTCTGACAAGACCCAGCCCACGCTTCCATCGCCACCACACACAAGAATCCTGAAGTTGTCAAACTTCTGAAATAACCGCAAACTGCAGAGAAAATAAAGAGCTAGTTATGTCCTTTAGTAAGGGAGCAGTGACATTCATTAGCAATATTTACAAGAAAATATTGTGCACAGCATTTTTATGATCCTTTTTATTGTTCTGGGGCATTGGATCCAACCATCTACTTAATTAACCTATCTGCAGCCCATCTGTCGCTGTGTATTACACTTACACTGACATTTCTGATAAATAACATGCCAAGTGTTTCTTTAAAACATTCCCTTGATATTGTTTTCAGGATTTTATAAGTCTGATTTTATTGATTTTATTAATATAAAAAAACAGTGATAAAATTGCAACTGCTCCATGCTTTTCACTTCAGCCAGAAGCACAATGCACCACTGGGGATTATTCACAAGGAGGTTAAGACACAAAGACAGGATGTGCTCCACGAGCTGGGTGGGCTTTTGTCAATGCAGGGCCAACTAAATGTAAGGAGCATTGGGGGCAATTCTTAAACATAAGGTGATCACAGCAATATAAGACAAATAATACAATTATTTCACRTTATATCCTTAAAGCCCTAAAGTATTCTGTTTTCATTTCCTATGGCTTTTCCTCCTGTTCTCTGACTTTTAACACCTCCAGGATACAACGCTTGGACAGGAGGATGAGAGAGACAGAAAAAGCAGAAAGGTGAGACTCAGAGGAACTGGGAATGAGATGTGAAGAAACAGCCAAGAGGTAAAAACAAGAGGGACTTAAATGGGAAAAAAAAAAGAAAAAGAAAAAGAAAAAGGAAAAAAAAGGAATTGGAAAGGTACAATCTCTTACAATATTAACAACAAAGATATTTATTTTTAATGCATGTTATTTTCCAGAATATGTATAATCTCTGAACCATTTCTAAAAAGCAAAATATCAATTTTTGAACAAATTTTTGAAGCATTTCTATTTTTTCTAAAGAAAATAATGTCACTTGAATACAATGAGATATCTACTCAGAACAAAAGAAGCAGTTATTTAAGAGGAAAAAAAGTTGACACCAGAACAATTTGTCCTGTCCTGAGAATAAGGAGAAAACCCTAGAAATACACTGTCTCATGGAAAGCACCTCTGCCTTTTAGATCAACTAGAAAAAGAAGATATCAGTGCGACCTGATGAAATAACTGCTAAGGACCTCTCCTTGGAAACTGTTTGGGAGAAATACTTAAAAASAACCAATATGAACTGCAATTACTGTACAAAATCACAGTGATCCTCCACAGCCATGGTACAGCTATATGAAGGAAGAGAACTTGCAAACATATTTTTCAGACTGTCTCCTTTCTAAGACTGTCTCATCAATTAAGACAAATGTTATATATCATTATAATTAAATGTACAAAATGCTAGCTAAAAGCGACTTAGATTCAGCTTTATAATTTATTTATCAGAGTTATAATGAAAAGAATGTTACAACTCAAGGAGTTAATATGACATGCAAATAACACAGTACTAATTATTATAATCCACAGCTGCATTCAATTATATCTGCATTATTTGTACACTGTTTGAACTGAATTTCTGTGGATTTGCTTCATCTACATTTTTATCATTAAGTACAATTCTGCATCTTTAAGAGCACAAAAATTAGCGCTTCTAGTCACTATAACTGATACTATTAGGCCACTTAACCACATCACGCATCTGAGTGGAATTAAGTTAGGCAACAGAAAAATGGGCATGAATTTAATCTTCATGAATACGCAAAGATGCTCGAGTTGTACGCACCACTATGTAGATTTCATCCCTGTCTCTCCAACAATCAAAAATCGAAGGATTTTGGGGAGAAATGACCAGTGGTTTTAATTGTGTTGTTGCTCCAAATTCTGTGGGATGGTCATTTTCTTGACCATTTGCCTACATTGCCTGAACCATACTTTAGGTGTACTTTTCAGATGAAAAATCATTCATGTGCTCGTCCATTACTTCCTGCAGACCCCCCTGCTGACATTTGTGTTAAGAATTTAAAAAGCTACAAAGCACATTTAGACAATAGTTTTTTTCCAYAGCTGTACACAAAAAGGTCAGAGGAAAATCTGAATTATGCATGTGAAACAGAAGAACAGCACCTGGACAACCATGTATGAAGACAAAACCAAAGCTCCTGTGGGTCAGCAAAACATCTTAACATTTGTAACCGTTTTGAGCCTTACCAATTAACACAAGTCTAAGCTAGGCAAGAGCTTTTGGTTTTGAAATTTCAAGCTTTTCTAGAAGGAAATTGTTATCCTACAATCCCTTCACCCACTGGAATTTATTTCGAAATTCTGTTGTCTCTCAGATTTTAATTAGGAAGTCAAAGTAGATACTGGTGAGAGAATTACGAGCAACAAGGGGACATAACACTACAAACAAGGGGAACACAAGACTATGCTTTGCACTAAATTCCCTTGGGGGAAGGCTTGCTCAAGATTTCCAAGGTCATTACCCTAAGTGAGGTCCTCCATTCATTAAATCGAAGACCTGAGCTGGATTTAACGACTGTTTGAATCGACGAAGAAACTTTACTCCCTGATTGTCTCCACTCTTTGAGTTAACAAAAACTAAAAGAGGACTGGCACAGGATGGCGGGCATGTGGCTTTCCAGAAACCTGTAAACATAGTTAGAAAGAACGAAATAAATAAGGTTTTCTAATATGAACAACACAAAAAGAAATCATGGGAAAAAGGAAGAAAGGGATGAAGGACAAAAGGAGTATATTTTATCATGCATAATGTAAACGCTAAACTGAGTTTAGTCCTGCAAAGAAAATATAATTGCACAAGATTTACCAGTTCTTTTCTTGCTTGTTTCTGGTATTTTCAGTGCCTAGATTTAGTAAAATCCTGAAGACAATAGCTTTATTGTTTTTCAAGAGTGAAAAGTTATTAACCTTGGAGAATACTTCTTAAATCGCATCTTCATAGATTATTATCCCATAATTGAATTTATATTTCAGTTACAAGTGTTTGGTTTTCAATTTTATTTTGCTTTAACTTTACTGGGTTGAACTGGATCATCCATGTCTGTATGAGCTTTCTATGAGTACTCACAGATTTTAAAAGTTACTTCTACGCAGGTCCTCCCAGGTGAGACTTTGCATAAGAGCTTTGTTTTCAGACTGAAGTTGTACTATTAAGTATGACTGAATCACTGAACAACAGAAGACCTTCAGCTGTGGTTCAAAGCTTATTAAAGTCAGTGCAGGTCTTAAYGAATTACAGCAGGCTTTCTACAAGGTCCTCAGTAAGTAGCACTAATGGACACTGTTGTCATTAACATGACCAGTCCATGGAGGCAGTGGTTTCCCAGCAACACTTCAAAATCAGACATCACATGTACAGGTTTTGACATTTGTCTCTGGCAGTATTAAAATGATTATGTTGTTTTCAATTACTAAAAAAACCACTAAAGCTACAAATAAAAGATTGACATTAAAGGATGCTAATTTAATTCCACATTATCATAATGTCTAATTTAAAATAAGATTTGATTAATTTAATTAATTTAAATGCCAAGAAAAATAATTTCACATATTGAACAATCTTCCTCAGATGAATAATAAATAACAGTGTGATGTCTAAGACATCACATAGCAAGTAAATAAAGTGAATATATACAGCATAAACAATCACTTTTACTAACTTTATATAATAAACTTAATTGAATTGTGTTAAAGTTGTTGGTCTGCATTTGCCATCAACACAAACTATAAAACTAAAGCAGTTAGGATTTTGTGATACTTCTTTTTTAAGTCCTTAAAAAAGTCCTGCCTTAAAGCGCAGTCTCTCACTGCTGATGTGTTTCTGTCCTGAACCACCAAAAAGCATCTCTGAGTTTTGAGCATTTGCTGGGTATTTATCTGTGAGTTTCAGGATTCTTATACTTAAAAAAGAAAAAAAAAAWAWWTTTTATTTAAAAAATAAAATTAGAAAAACTATGGAAGCAACTCCTTTCTTTAAGCCTGCTAAAGCAGTTGTTGGATCTGAGCTGTTCAGCTAACTTATCTTTGCATAATACAAAACTATCCAAAATTTGAGGACTCACAGAAGGAGTGGTGTATGCCAGGCAGGCATCAGCCCACTTCATCTGAGGACTCTGTTCATTCACTTGAAATGTTTCCAAGGGTCATAAGTAAAATGGAAGAAATGTTCTACTGGGGCAACTTCAAAAAACATTTTTAAAAACGTATCAGTTAAATAATTCTCTAAAAGCCTGCACAGAAAATGATACTTCTCTCTAAATTTGCAGAGTGCATTCACCTGCTCAGCAGAAGGATTTTAGCCTTGTTTATTTGCATGGATCTCAATAGGCACTGGAAGTCCAGAGGTACCACTGAACACACTACAAGACTACGTACCATCGGAGTCTATACTGTTTAGAGCTGTTGGAGGGATGATCGATACCTTACACTGGCCAAGTGGACATTTACGAGGGTACAGATCTTTACAGGCCGTGTGAACCTACAAAAGAAACAAAAAAATATTTTCCTTCAGTGGAACTTTGAGGTGAAAATACAACTGATACTACGTTAACTGTGTAACAAAAATGGATTAGGTGTAGAGGGAAAAGGAGTGAGATCAGGAAAAAAAAAATGTTCAACCACAGAGGCTTGTTACTAATACAACAAAACATTATTTTGGAGAGCTCCAGTTGTAGAGGTGGCTTCCAAAGATATCAGAAAAARAGGCATATGCAGAGGTTGCTGAATTTCACCTGAATTTCAAGTTCCCTCCGCCAATCATTTCCTACTGCTTACACAGAGAGTCATGGATACCTTTATGCCAGAAGGTTCAACAATAARTAAACTGCTGACTGGCATTAGAAACCCATCTTTTTGGACAAGTTGATAAAATTCAGAGAAGACTATACATAGGGGAAGCATGTATGTTAGACAATTTCAATCAGCTATCTATAGTTTGTCCTGAAGAAGAGAAAGTCAAGATTTTGCAATAATGAACATGTTACTACATTACTATTAATATAACATATTATTAAAATATTAATAGAGCAATAGCTACAATAAAAAATACAAGAAAGTAACATAWGATTATTAGGCACAAGGAACAGGCAGCTGAACATTCAGTTATCAGCTAGGAGAAAGCAGACAAAATACATTGGAYGACAACACCTATTAAAGAAAAGCTGCATGTGTGGGTGTATAAAAAATTAACTGTGCAAGTAGGACAGTCATCAGAAATTCTGAACGCTAGAGAGACCTGAGTTTGCAGAAGCTGCCTGCTCCGACTGAATCCAAGAGCAGGTCCAGAGACGACAAAACAAAAATAATGGTAACCAATAAAGCTGTCAAAATGTGAAATGCTGGAATGTGGTTCAAGCACCTACCATAGCTTTRCACCAAAGGCACTTCCAATCCTGCAGGCGCAGAACACTGCCACAGGTCTTGTCGCAGACTGCGCATTTGGCACTGACRGGCAGGTTCCCCTCTAACCACTGGTGAGGCATAGCTATCTGTGGAGAAGGAGGCATTCAAGTTAAATACCCAGAAAGAGAAATTAAAGGCTTTTGTCTCTCAAATATAGGTGGATTTAAGCTATTTCTCACAGCTGGACCCTTTCATCAAAGAAGCATGCTGGGCAGCAGGATAAGGGTCGCTGATGCTCACAAGGCAACAGCAACAAATGGACTGTTTTGGTGTRCCACATGGCAGGCAGAAAGCATGACACCTGATGAATGGAGACATGACTCACTCATGGAAGAAACCAGCCCTAACACAGCAGGGCTGTGTTATACATRCATACAGCCCATCACACAAACAAATTCCCACTCACTTATGTTGACTACATGACACAAACCAATTAAAAATACCTAAAATTCATAAGAACAAGCAGGACAGCAGAATACCTGTGTTGCTTCGCTTACCCACTCACCATGGCTGCTAAGTCACAGCTCTATAAAGCAGTCACAAATGCAATGCAAAGTTTTACTCAGGGCACTCTTTGTCCCATTAATACCATGGGCAGCTCAGGACACTCAGGTGTACAACTTAGTACCAACCTTCTAGGAAGAAGCCTCACACCAGCGATTCATACACAACTGTGTTTGTAAAAACAATCCATTTATCACAATCAACTTCTCAAAAGCTTTTGGTTTTTTCTCCTGCTAGTTTTAAAATTCCTGCTTTCATTGGCAAAAAAAACCTTCCCAATTCAGTGAATTCCAAAGAGACCTCCTGAAGAACAGCTCTCGGTAAGGAGGACAAAAAACAGATTGCCAAAMCAGCATGGTAACAGTGTAAAATACCACCTGTGCTTAAGAGCAGTAGGAACTTCTGGGAGCAATTCTTCAGCTGCAGTTTCTCCACATGTGGCCTTTAAAATCTTGTAAAACATCTGCAATCAAGTGCCTGAAGCTGCTAGACTTGTTTTGTGAGATAGGAATACAACTTTTTTTCTAAATGCCACATTAATCTTTGAAAAGTGTTCTGGAAAACAGCCTCCTACCATTAACTTCAGTGGGTCACACAGCAATATTTCTATGCTTGGCCTTATTTTTCCCCCTAAAGAAGAAACTACTTTGGAAAAGACTGTAAATACAAATAGTACTTACACCATCTTCATCTTCAATGATGTCTTTTCCAATTGAGGCTAATGTAGTCCATTTGCAGTTATTTGTTGCTCGGACAGCACATCTTTTATGCGCTTTAAATTTACACACTGAAAGACACACATAAATATATACTCTGTGTTATTTGCAGTATTTCAGTGATACACAGCTTTTAAAAAATTAAACACAGATACCACATAAAATTACCAACTACATATCACTTACTGTCGCACACATGACACAAAACAACTAAAAGAAAATTCAGTTCATAATCACTCCAGCTTTGACTCTSTAAACAGTGTTTAACTGCTTAGCTGCTGCCCATGCTAAGCGTGCCCTCAAATTCACACTGATCCCCATTTTTTCAGGTGTCAGATACAAATATATCTTTAACTGTGGGTTTGTCTTTTCTATTTCTCCAGTAACATAAATCAGATATCTGGTTTAAATTTGCAAGAAGTGATGAGAGTGTTTTACACAAATATTTTGAATCAGGAGCTCTGTTTCTTTGTTCAAAGGATGCCTTTGGGGCATCATGCTGGAACCATTTTTCTCAGAAGATGAGAAAGTGAAGGGTTTATGTGGTGATATTTTTATACAGGGTAGTGGGGATTACAAAATTTTCAAAGAGCTTATATTGAATCAGGAAGACCCTTACTTTTTACGGTATAAGTTATTAAAAGTCTACTAATTGGAATACCCAGCCCAAGTGTATAGTACAGGCAGATATTTTGACAACATAATAACAATCTGAATTTTGTTCAACTCAATTAATATGCCTAGCTGATGATAACATATTAGCCCAAACAGACTGATGAACCCAACTGTGGGTATTTCTTCTACTGGAAGTGCATGATGTAATTCCATTTAGAGTGCATTATATAAATTATTTTGGCAGAGACCATTAAAGGTTTATGAAAACTAGCCAGCAGATCAGAAGTAGTAGTCTCTTTTCAAACAAATACTTGACAGGAAATTATCAAGGGTTTGGCCCATCGCTTATCTACCATTAAAAAACATTAAGCCATGGTACAAAATGTCTTGTGAATAATAAATTTTCCATTTTAATTCCACTGATCCATTGCCAGTTCAATTTAAAAAGTGAATTGAGACTATGTAAGCAACATCTGAGTTTGAGAGCAATCCTCACTGTTCTGGGAGATGCGTGAAAGTAAGTGCTCGGCTCTCACTTTCTTACTTTCTAGAAAGAAAGAGAAGAAAACAGGCCAAAAAAGTTTCATTGCTCTTGCAGTAACTCTCCCAGTCATTTCACAAAGCAGCATTCATAGAATCATAGAGTTATTTGGGTCGAAAGGCACATTTAAAGATCATTCATTTTCAACTCCCACTGCAGCGGACTGGGACATCTTTTGCTAGACCAGGTTTCTCAGAGCCCCATCCAACCCAGCCTTGAACACTTCCAGGGATGGAGTGTTCACAACTTCTCAGGGCAACCAATGTCTCACCATTGTCACAGTAAAGATTTTTTCCTAATATCTAATCTCAACCTACTCTCAGTTTGAAGCCATTTCTGCTTGTCCTGTCACTACAAGTCCTCATAAAAAGTTTCATTCCATCTTTCTTGTAGGCTCCCTTCAGGTACTGGAAAGCCACAGTCACATCACTCTTAAGCCTTCTCTTCTCCAGGCTGAACAATCCCAACTCTGTCAGCCCTTCCTCACTGGACAGGTCCAGCCCTCTGGTATCTCCATGGCAGTCCCATGGACTCATTCCAACAGGTCAATGGCCCTTAACCTAAGAAGGGCATGGAGCAAGACCAACACAAAGTGTGCGAATATCCCATAACTGTCAACGAACAGGGTTGACTCACTTCTTCTAAACAGCTGAGCATCACTTAGTSTGTTTGCCAACCTAAGCAGTTCCAAGCATCTACGGAAGCCAGCCCTCACAGAAGCACAGAAATACAGGCCACATTTTCAAATGAYGGACCATGAGCAGTTTTCATCACTTGAATTTTTCAGAGAAGATATGCCACTGAATTCAGCTTCCTACTCATAAATTATTTGCTTTGCMGCACAGATCAAAACACAACAAATCAGGGATGAGGGGAATAGGAAATTACAAATTACRAAGTGATAACGAAGTAGTTGAATTTTCAAATCCTATTGAGCTATGATTCAGCTTGCTCTTAGGAACCATGTATTCAACTTCTTCTTTCTTGACAAGGCAAACACTAATTCAATTCCAGGCTCTGAAGAGCTGCAGCAAGACACACTATAGATGGCAAGTGACAGCTAAAGTTTGTTTTGCAAGTACTGTAAATAAGCTACCTATCAAATCTCAGATGAGACTCTTTGGATCACCCTCATTCACCCSTGTTTGTTTCAGTCTCACGAGAAATAATTTATGTTACTCTGAACATTAAACATTACCAACAACAATATCCTTAAAACAAAGATGTAACTTTTAAGCAAGGAAAGGAAAATTTTAAATCAAATCTCAATATTAGTTACCACTATCCCCTAATTTCATTTGTCTCAGATGACACTGAATCCCATTCATGAATCAGCCTGGTATCTGAAATCTTTTGGAAAACATACAGACAAATGGCTAGACATCAACTGCCTTACTTCACCAGTGAAAGCTAAAATACAAGAAAAGTTACTCAGGAACTTAACATTGCAATATGTTTTCTGAATGCAGGTATGAAGTCTTTGGTTGTATAACCACTTTTAGAGAACAGGACCCTCAGTCACTGTATGTAATGGGCGCTAGTTGATGAGTACGGAGTTGTGCCATACCCGCTTCATAATAATTTTCAACAGGTACTTGCCTTATGGGTCAAAAGCTAATGAAATAAYGCTTTTTAGACACCAATGTGTCTTTTTTGTGGCCTTTTAAAATTAATATTATTACTATTATTATTATTATTGTTGTTGCTGTTGTTGCTATGCCCAGTTGATTGATCTTTGCATTTATAGAAAACAGCATTTCTGTGATACAGGCTGCAGGTTRTAAACAACTCATAATTATGATTTTATCAAAATCTTATTTAAACGTTTTCCAAACATTACAGAAGGGTGCCATGTGATATAAAATCACAGAACAGTTCTCTATGATTCCTTCATTCTTTAGCAACAAACATGCCTTCTCTTCCTGACTGCTTCACTCACTGTTCACTTTTCAGACTGCACAGAAAATGTGGCAAAAATATCAGAGACAATGACGGTGCAAGTAGTGCCAGTACAATTCCCTGGGCAATGGGTAAGAACAACAGGGTTTTGTGGGCAAAACCCCACAATCATAATGGAAAAAGACCAAGTGCACTAAATGCATTTGCAGAGGTAATTTAATCTCAGTATTTTCTTACTGATTGACTTCACAATTCTAAAGTGTTCTTACAGCATTGCATGTGCAATTTCTCGCAGGAGAATGCAGTTTAAGAGAGGCTTTCACTTCATTATTAGCTATACTTGATATTCAACAATCAAGATTCAGTCATGATAAACAAAATTCTACATGAAGAAATAMATTTTTGAGAATAATCATAAAGGCAGTGTTCCACTGGCAATGACTTAGATAGAAATGCAGTATTAAGACAGTATTAATAACTGAGGTTAGAGAGCTCTGAAAGCGCAACAGTAGAGAATGATGTATCATTCTTTAGTCTCCTTTGCCTCAACATTCCATGCTGAAGGAATGYTGTAATTTTTTTTAAGCATAAAAACCAAACCCCTTCCTTGATTCAGCTAATTTGGAGTAATTTCTAAAGCAAGGCACAAAGATGATAATTTCTCCATCCTAATAAAGACTGTGGATGAACATTGCAGAGATCAGTCCTTTAGTGCTAGCCAGAGCAACACAATGCACAGACAACATTGGAAAAATAGATTATCTTTTAGGAAGGCACAGAAGAAAGAACCTGTGGGAAGAAAAGCATTGCATCTCAAAGGAGAGTATGATTAATTTTTTTTAGAAGTCAGTTGTTTGTTGAGCAGTAGCAAGAACGAAGCCTGGTTTGTTACAACTTACATCTTCTGACTGACATATATATCAAATCTTTGACTTCTAAAAAGAGGCAAGTTCACATTAGTCTTTTACCTAGCAAAGGCATTAACCTACCATCTTTTTCCACACTGGTTTCCACAAGACTTAGACTATCTTCAGGGTGACCTACAATTAATTTGGCCAACCTTTGCCAAAGGGAGGGAAGATGCTCTGAAGAAAAAAAATCATGCATCATCTCCAAAAGAAATGAGGCTTGCTTTGTGGTCAGACTGAAAAAAACCCAGTTTGCTGGAAAACAGCAATTCTAACAGAACAAAATATTACATCTTCTAAACTATCAAAAGCTGCAACATATCAGCAATGAGATTTTTTTTTTTTACCTATAGTTAACAGTCAAGAATCAGACCACTAAAACTCTAAGAGCTTTCAAGACAACTTRGTGTGCCAGTAACCCAAACCACTAACAGGAGGAAGAGCTCAATTATCGCTTGAGAAGGAGCTTCTCATGCTTCTTAATACAAGGCATAATAGAGTAGACTGGGATCAATGACCACACAAATAATTGAATCTAGTATAGTTATAAAWGGATTCCTAGTGCAAAGCAGTGCTGGAGGTTTGAGATGCCTGGCATGAATATTTAAACAGGTTTTTTTTAATTATGTAATGGGAAAAAGCAGCAGAGAACAAGTCTGGAGAATTTTAAGACTCTAAAATTCCTCTCAAACTGTGTGTAGTGCTAACATAGGTAAGCTAAAAAAAAGATGATTAAATACATTAGAAGTGCAMAAGAGAAAAGCAAGTAGCAAACAAAAATAGTTTTTAGATTAAGAAATTAAGGATGATTAACATGGGTTTTAACATGTATACATAATTGTGGACAAGATATTAAGTATTCTAGTAAAAGATTGAAATGTCAAATAATTTAAATTAGATACATAACTAAAGATCTTCTTTAATTAAAACAAAACCGATATAAAATAGTAGCTCAGAAGTATGAGGGGGTAAACTTATTAATAGACAAAAGAGYATCATTGTATCTACATACATAAAATGCTCCAGGTCTTACAAGATTATGAAACTGTGGAACAGTGAAAGCAAATCAGAACCACTTTCACAAGACATTTGTAAAAACTGTAGAAAGTCTAACTGGCATCAGAAATGTAAATAAATGTAGCATTAGTTTGTCATAAGTTATGCAGAAAGGTGACAAACTCCAAATCTTGAAATTATGGAAACTTCCATAATGTAAAGTTAATGCCAACACCCTGTATATTAAAAACATACTAAGATGTAAAATTAGACACTGAAAAAACGGTGCACTACAAACATAAACATTGATAATCTTACAACAATAAATCTTGGTAAACAGCCTTTTAAAATAGCTGTAAAATTAACTTATGAATGGATACATTCTTTATGAAAGTCTTTCCTTTCCTTTGCCTGAGCAAATACAACTGTATTTGTACACAAAAGCAATACAACTGCATTTTAGTTAGACACATGATACCTCCATGTGCCAATATCAGACATTGAGAAYACCATAATTTCCCTAAAACTGTTCAGAAGACTTATACACAGTGGAAAACACACACCAGAGAAGATGGAAGTAACCATGCTACTTCTGATTTCTACGAAACGCGTTTGTCCTGTTCCTTGGCAACTGCACCATTAGCTACATTAAAAGCATGGACAATTCAGGACAGTGGTTTAATGTTTCCTCTGTAAGATTTCCTTAATACACATTATTATGCTCAGACCTCAAGTATTGTAACAGCATCAATAACAGAAATGCATTTGCAGTTGGTTTATGTACATCCAAAGAAATCAAATTATGAATGTTGTAACTGTAACTCCCTTCTGGGCAGTCAGCTATTTTAGTAATTAAATATCTCTATGTTTCATAAATTTCTTAAGGCCACACAGATGCTTTACTTTCTGCTGGATGCTAACATAAGCAGACTTGTTACCACTTTTCCACAAAACTTGCAGGAAAAAAGAAATACACTATTTCAGGCTTATTATTGTTTCATTAAATATTATTGCTTGAGATAAGTTAAATGCTGAAGTCTTAGCCACACTTCCTTTTCTTTTTTTTTTGTGCTGGATTTACCCTGTTGAACCATAAAAAAGCAATCATCTAATTCTCTACCCCCTCACAGCATGAGAGAATTTTCAGAGCACTAAACCAGTGTGTACTGCAGGATCAGGCAGCAGCAATAGAGCAAACAAGAATTGGAGGGAAAGGTCATAACACTTGTTCAGTGTTAAAATCTTATACATTTGGGTTAGAAACTATCATTATGATTTTTTTCCTGAGAAATGCTGATTCTGCAAACCAGTAAGACTATTTTGTTGCACATTTCTGATGTGCAAATCAAATAAAACCTATCTGTTCTTGCAAACCCTCCACCGTGTACACTCCAGGCTGGTTGCTGCAACAGAAAGAAGTGTTCAATTGGARAAGGCACCTGGAGCAACAGGAAGGTGAGGCAGACCATTAGCAGTCCCTCTGCCCGGAGCGGGGTTATTCTTGTGAAGTTTTCTCCCTTCAGGCTCCTTTGTCACACATTACTTTTAGGATCATTACTTGTACTGAACTTGCAGCCACTGTCAGAATGCTAAGCAAGGGGAAGAAAATGTTATTTTACCTTCGCAGGACAGGCCGTGGGAGGTGACTCCAGAGAGGCTCTCTCTGCACACRTTGCAGAAGGTGGGTCGGGCGTGGGAGCAGGCGTACCAGTTATGCATCCCTGAGAAATGTTCCACATTAAACTGTGCGGTCTAGTAAAGGAGAAGTTAAGACAAATTTGCAAGTACAGAACACAGCTACGGTGACTGACATTACGTACGGTTCCATATTACAGGGGATGACAGCGCAGTGCTCACCAAAAGGATTTTCCAAAGGGTATTCAGCCTGCTCTCCCTCCAAAATTCTGAACCAAAGTGTGATAAAAAGCTTGCATTTTGCTAGTGAAGTTCTAACCACGAAGCTTTACTCTGGCATTTGACACACTTTTCACGCTAAGGACTTTCACACTTTTCACGCTTTTCACTCCAGTTCTGTGTCCTGTAGCTTGGTCTGTTGAGCTAGAACAGGTCGCACCAAGAGGGGTATCAGCTTACCTCATAGTGTTCCCTGGACTGAACGGACTTCAGAGAGCTTATCCAGTCCTCCATTTCTTTTCTATTCTCAGCACACAATATTAGCCTCCTAAATGGAGTGATTATCTGAAAAAGAGAACACATCCTGATTAATCCGGATAGTAACAATCATGATAGACTATGATAATTAATGTACTCTTTCCTGTGAGATTATGCAAAAGGACGACGCACCCTACATGACAAGATAAATTAAATGCATTTATACTTAAAATTATTTTCTTTAATGCAGTACCAACAACAAAAGAGTTTGCTTTTCTTTTTACATTTCCCAAGATTCAAATCAAGCTTTGGTATAGGTCTCTGGCACCTACATTGATCAATATTCCTTCTCAGCTCTTTGTCTATGAGATTTAAATGCTCAAATGGCAGGCACTGAATCTGCTAAAACAACCTTTCTGGAAATTACTAATTGACTAAAACTGCAATCCTATTTCATAACAGCATCATAGCAACTGCAAGGTCCATTGCAATTGCTAAGGACAAAAACATATCAAAATCAAAAGCTTGGAAGTCTTAAACAACCACAAAAGCTGTAATCCTATTTCTCTATCTTGTATGTTGATACTATCTTTACACAAATTTATACTAACAAAAATTTAAAACAGAACTTTCTGCATCCAACTAGATCAACTCAGTATAAGAACACATACAAATCCTTAAACAAAGGCACAGASATCAAAATAAACAGTTGAAATCCTATCCTACTAGGACAATTGAATGAATTCCTGGAACAAGTTGATGTTGGGAATTTTTCAGTCATCTGGAGTTGGATTCTACAAATCTGAAAATACTGTATCAAGGAGGTTCAGAGTACAAGCTGCTCTCCCCAAACAGTAGAAAAATAATCAAAATAACAGGAAGGCAGTAGAAACTATCAGCTAACTCCCACTGAAATTATTTTGAGCACTGCATTAAAATAGACAAAGCAGATACTTACATAGCAAAGAATTTAAAACAAGTACAAGAAATTAAAGTTATTTGTTTTGTTGTAGAAAGTCTGAAAAATAAATCTTATATCAGTATTATGCATTAATCTACTACTTAGTGTATACCACCAGCACTTGCAAATTACTTACATAAAACAGAGAAAGGACCACCAAAAAATTATAGTTTGAGYATTCTTTTAAATGYTACAGGCTAGACRTTGCAAAAATATTTGAACAATATTAGGAAACACTTATCTACAGCTGCAGTTACTTACCCAGTCCCTGCCGTAAATAGCTGCTAGCCTTGATTTGTCCTACCGACTTCTTCATTAAACTGAGCTGCACTTTAACATATCTCAGAGGCGACGTAACTGAAGTGCAGCAGGCTGCAAGTCACATGGAGGGGAGGCAAGAACCTTTGAGCTTGCCTTTTTTTTTTTTTTCTTTTAATGTACTCACTTCACATGGAAAGGAATAGTTTCTTGGCTTTCTGTTTCCTTCAATCTCGCTCAAGTATTTAATAAGGTTTAGTAGTAGCTCTCCATGGCTTTTCCTAAAGAACAGTTTATGCAAAKAGCAATGCTTCTTTCATTAGTTTGGAGCCAAACAGACACTTTTTTACTTCAAAATGTTTTTCTAGGCCAGSTCATCAAATGAAGCCAAGAAAAGTCATTAAATCATAATATAACCCTGGCTCCAACAACAATCAGCATTCTGCTGAAATTTCCAGGTTTCRGTGGACTCAGGAATCTTATTTGGGCAAATACAAACCACATATTATTTCCTTTTATACAGCATGAGATTGTAATACAGATTAAATAATGATAAATCTATCCAGGACTTGGCACRTTGTGTCCATCCTTCTGCCACATTTATTACTGATTCTAACCTGTAACCAGATGTTGTGAAATGCCATTAAACAGCAACAGCTGCTTAAATGTGCTGAAAACCCCTGATTAATCTTGATCATTTCAAGGARTATTTATATATACCACTCATGTCTTCAATACCACTGGTCACAGAAATCCACTGCACATCTGTCCACCTTCCACCCGCAGAATTAAATACCTTGATTCAGTTGTTCACACCTAGTTACCTCCTGCCAATGAAAACACCCTTTGGTATCCAAAGTGTTGGCAGGGTGGGRATAAGTATGACAGAGGACCAGAGTAGTAGCTATAAATAACCTAGGTGGGAYACCAAACCCCATCTCAAAAGGCACTGCACACCCATATATTGGCAATCAAATCACATCACCAAACACTGCTAGCCAATGCACATTRACATACCAGAAATTCATATATTCTGGCTTCTTACTAAAATCAGAGTGCAACAAACTTAACAAAGTTCACAGCATTGCAACAGTCTAACAGCTGAATTGGATACTGTCAATCACATGAATGTATGATCAATTATTATTAGCRCTATAAAAATAAAGTGGGAAGTTGGAAGAATAACATATTTGTAAATACAGCATCTGTAATATGATTAAACTACATATTCTCTTTGATTTACATATTTGCAACAACAAACTTCAAGAAGGTACCTGATAACACAAAAAAAGACAAAATGCATTATATGCAAGAAGTATCAACAATGCTTGGAATTTTTCAAGTAAAATAAAATAAAATACAATAAAATAAAATAAAATAGGAACGAAGAAGATCATGTAGCTTCTTGTCTATTTCAGTCTACAAAATCATGGAGAACATGAACTCTCATTATTTTTAGATATTTCATGTAACATAAGAATTTAGGGAACCAAGGAAACTGTTAGCAAACAACAARAAGTGTATTTCCCTAAATGCAAATCATCATTTAGASTTGAAAARTATTCCCGAAGGATGCTGAGGACATGAAAAGTATAAAACATTCACAATGGTATTTGAAAAATTCATCACAAATAAATGCATCATATACTACAAAAGACAATATCTGTAACCTTCAATTTATSAAGTCCTCAAAAATCCAACAATGAGTCAATGTTGGGAAGTTACTCAAGTAAGAATCACTGTATATGCTCTACTGTTTCTACTTCTTTCTTTAGTAACTGCTACTATTATTATAATAMTTTGATTCAATATGGTTTTATGAGCTTTACACAGACTCAGTACAGCTTCCCTTGCTTTTCCTAAACTGAGAATGACTTCCTAAACATTCTTATTTTCATTTATACAGGCAGCACGCTTTCTTCTGAATGCTTACACAGTGCTATGGTTAACTAAGTGGGATGTTTAAAGCTCATTCATTAAAGACAGCTGAACCTGAAAAATTAAATGGATATAATTGTCCATAAAACCATTTCCCTACCATGTAAGTTTGGATTTGACTAGCAATCTTACCTCATTGCATGTATTCATATTCACAGTCCTGTATATTCTCTTCTACTGACCCAGGTCAGAATCTTTTCTTCAATTACATATTTTTAATAAAAATATTACTATTTGAATATTATTTTGAATACGCTGACCTCTCAACAGACAAGAAGAAACTGTATAATACAATACAAAGGAAGTGTTACAGGAACCACTGGAAGACCACTGAGGTAACATAAGAATAAGAAGACATGTCCGTCTTGAAGGAACTTAGGTGCCAATTGTTCACATGCTGACAAAGCAGGAGACAAATCAAGAAGAAAGAAGACAGTCAGAAGGCCTTAAAAAATAAATAAGATTAAGTTCCTTTGAAAATTTTCACCATTGTCAAGTAGCCAAGAAGTCACTGCTGATTTTGGAAAAGAGAGCTACCAAAAGCAGATATTGCAGTATATTGGAAAGTAATGAAATAGAGATAGTTGGAATAAAAAACACTTTTAACGCAGTAGACATTGGGAAAGAGTGAGCATACGCAGTCTTAAAAGTTGAAGGCAACCAACACAAACCCTAAAACATCTCAAGGAATAAACAATGTCTGAATGGGAAGAAAAATTACCCATCACTGTAATAATGTTCAGAAAAGTAAGGGGCTTTTTTTGAGTGGGGAATGAGGGAGAGAACAAGAGATCACTGTTCACTCTGCCACCACAGGGGTCTTGCCTTAAATTAGGATTTTTACACAAACACTACAATAATTTGGCTTCTAAAAATATGCACATACTCATATATATGTGCACATACACATCTTGAAATTACTCAGATGACATTTCTACAGACAACTTTGAGGCCACTACTGCAACTTCTCTTTCAGACAACACTTAATAGGAACAAGCTTAACACCTTGAAAGGAAATAGAATTGTCATCAAATTCAGAGTAAATTTGAAAGTCCTTTCTTCTTTCAGTGGGAATACCCTAACAGTAACATTCTATATGACCTCAGCCCAGTGGGTTTAGACTTAGGAACTGTAAAATAAAATCACAGAGAGTTCAATTAAAGCATACTGTCTAATTTTTAATCTATTTTTTTACAATCAACAATATATAAGAAAATACATTTCCCAAAGCTTGGTGAGAAAAGAAACCACTTCTGGTTTCTTTTACCAATTCAAAATGCAGACAGAGTATTTGCTAATCAAGAGAACTGTGGTTTATACCTAAGCAGCAACAAAGCAGCCATTGTAAAGCACTCTGCTTCCTGCAACATGATATTTGCATTAAGGCACCTTCTGCCACTCTGAACTATTATCAGGCATTACACTAATAGCCCTTTGTATGGCTGATCTTGAATTAAATTAGTAATATGTAGAAGCATCACTTTAAAAAAGAGATGGGGAAATGGTTTTCCTGTTCTTTGGAGAGATACTTTTAAAATATCTCTCTGGAAGTAATGGAGAGGATGACAGAGAAAGAGAGAATCCCAATTGTCTTCTTAGGGGCCATATTTAATGCCTGGGGCAGGAGCGCAACATTAAATGCTTTCTAACTTCTCTGTGCTCATAGACGTTTGTGAGACAGTAGTAGTAAGTATGAGAATAACACACTCTGCCTCCCCTGCTTTCTGCCCCTCCATTCCCCTGTCCTTGTGCAGGTGGGTCTGGGTGAGTGTGCCAGGTGAATGCACCACCATCAGTGCTGGGAGCAGACTGCTTGGCTCACTGATGCTCCCACACCCACCAGAACTTTGCTGCAAAAATCACAGTGCTAACAGCTGCACAGCTTTCTACAGTATTCGCAATTTCTTGGTTTCTGTATACTAAATAAATT